GCTAAAGAATAAGCAATTGAATGAAACAGCGAGATGCCGTCGATTGCTCGCCAGTAAAATTGAACAATCACGTAAGCACGGATGCGCTAAACAAAGCTTCATGAGTCGTGAATGTGTCCAACGTCCGACTGGGGAGTTGCGGAGAAAAATGAGCAACAATGAGATGTTACACAACATGATGGCTTTATGCGAGCGCAAACATCATCGCTCATTATTCTAGGCGCTGCCGGAATCTTGGGCGCCTTGGCTTCCTGGCGCGCTGGGCTAATCTCAGCCGGGGCTGGGTCAATGTCGTCTAGTGTCCTCCGCATGTCCGACATGTAACAATCGTGTCCTTCCTTTTTACCTATTCCATATTGAATATGAAAAACGTCCTCGTCATTATCGTGCTCACGTGTTCACCCGCACAATCCGCAAAATCCGAAAACGCTTTTGATAGTTTTGTAGTTCTGGTGTGTGTTTTGTTGTTGGAACTCAATTCCAGCGAGTGCCTCGGTTATTGGTGTTTGGAGATTTCGTTAACTGATATCTTTTGTATCCGAGCATTTCGTCGATCGCATAATGCGGCCGAAAGAAATGCGACTGGATGGATAAGTAGAAGGTACGCCTAATGCCTTAAGAGGCGCGCCAAACACGTGAGCCGCACAATGGGCACGTCGAGCGAGTGAGCTTTTTATTCGATTTGTGTGCTAAAAGAACGCAGCGACCGAAAATGGTTAACCTACACCACGATGCGGCCGTTTCTGCTACACAATACGGGGATAAATAGATAAATAGATATCCATTTAGAAGTAAATGGATAAATGGACAGTTTGTTTTCTATTCTACTTCTAATTTTATTGTACTAATTGTACCATTGCAAATATTTGTTGCTATTTGCCTATTGGATTGGTTTCTCAAGTTTTCAACAAATATTTTTTTTTACTTTATCAAGAAATATAATTGTGTTATTACCTACGCACCACGTCGAAACTATTGCAAATTATTTATAACATAACTTTTAATAATTCTGAAACGTTATTGAAATTTGAAAAAAAAAATCAAAATCTAAATAGTAATTAATACAAAATCATCTTTTAATGAACTTGTTAAAATAGTTAATGATCATGTTTCACTTTGTGTCCACGAGTTGTTGCCTCATAAGAAAAGAACTTCCATTAGCGATAAAAATCTCATCGAAGATTCCTTGATATTTGTATTTGTCTGATGTTTACGCATGTTTAGCAAATAAATGCGCGGCAATCTCCCCGAACAAAGCAAGCATGTAACTCAATCATAATCCCCGGCTCCATCATATATTTGGCCCGCTCTCAGGCACGTTTGCTTGCCAGTTCTGCGCAGTGCCCCGGATTAAATCTAACATTTCTTTCAACTGCTAATGCACTCAGGCGATCCGGTCGCAACTAAAGCGCTAAACTCATAACGATCTACATTCTCAACATGCGATATTCTATAACTTGCTTTTGCAAACATTGTACTCAACGCCAACACAAATATAAACGAAGCCATTATGCCTCTTCGGCCGATACAATAGAAATGCGCTCGTGGAGCGCCTTGCCCCGAGCATTCGGTGGGCAAAACGCGGCCGAATCTCTATGGGATCATCTAAACGTGATCATCACACCGTAAAGTGATTTTCTTATTATTTACACAAATAAAACCATCGCCGAGGCCGACGTTTCCTGCGATAACGCAACGATAACAAAACCCGAAGCGGTGAAAAGAAGGCCAAACCCTGAAGACTCCTACTAGTTGCGTGCGTGCTTGTGTTCTTTCTCCTTAGAACGGTAACAAAGTTATAATGGATCTCAACTTATCTAAGGTTTACCGAAGCAATAGCTCGGTTCGCCAAAAAGTAACCGAACAATAAAGCTTTTAGACTTAAGGCTGGCTCCGCGTTAAGCAATGCTCTCCGATGCTTCCAACTTAAGACGCATGCGATGAGGACAATGCGCAAACGTGTAAAACGAGCACAGGAGAAATTAATTTGCTCGGATGAGTTTCGAACAATGCACGCGCGCAGGATTCGACACTCAGACAACTCAAACACGGCCGTGGACAATGGCATTTTTCAATTTTGCTTGTTTGCTATTTGAGGCAAGTCACAGAAAACTGCGTTTGCTTTGGTTTACAGTGGCGGATTAGACGCAAGCGAGCGCGAAAGCAGCCAGCCGGCTGAAAACAGCTAAAAAGCGCGAGCACATTGTTGCAACCGACGCAGATTATCGATGAGGTTTTCATGTGTCCAATGCGTGAAATGCGGACATTACGTCTATTGTGTGAGAAACAAGTAAATCCACACATGGACAGACACATGAACGCATCGATGAGCGCTGGAAACGCACGAAGTTAAAGAGTGGAAAAGTAGCCCTTCAATTCGGGCGTACAGCAAGAATCAAAAGGCGTGTAATTAGGTTTTCTGCGTTGTTTAATCTTCACTTCGGCATGAATTATTCTCGTGCCGGTGCGTTGGTAACTCACTTAGGTAGATACTTTTTGAGTAAGTGCTTTACATGGTGGGTGAATAACCTAATAAGGAAATTAGTAACCTTTAAACAAACGAAAATGAATGTCTACTTATAATTTTTAGATGGCCGCAAGTAAACTTACGTACTACTTGTTGACAAGTTCGTGTTTTAAATGTATCTTTACCGATTTATTTTAACTAATTCAATTTTCAAACTGCAATACTGGTTTCTACTTGTTTTACCTGAGCGAGAAATTAACAAAGTTTTAAAATTGCGCGCAATACTTTGAAAATCTAGTTTGGGCTTGTTCCTGGGCGATTTGGAATCCACATCTTTCTAGTTCTATCTACTTCTAATGCACACTATGTTATTTTTGTTAATACTAATTTAAAATGAGATGGATAAAGAATTGCCTGCGTATAGGCATATGAAGATAGGGTAAAACACCCAATCGTTGGCACTCCTCCAATTATTGTCACTTTATATTTTAATTCGAAAAAACAAGGAAACCATAGATTATTCAAGTTTGATATGCATTGAATTGTACAATAGTATATTTTTTCTGTTCAAATTTGACTACACTGTTCCAATAACTAATATGGCGATTTAGATACAACAGCGGATATTTTGTGTTTGTGATTTGGTGTAGTTATTTTGTTTTTTTCTTAAGGTGAGACCTTTTTTAATCATTGTATATCGCAGCTATTCGGCTAATAGATACTTTTGTATTAATTTGATATGCTTAATTACACGTTTAGGCAATAGATTCAAAGATTATTTCTTGAATATATCTTTTATCACATTGATTTATTACCTACATGTGCCAACATATGGATCAAGAATTTATCAAAATCCTATTGTTGGCACCCGTGCCAATAACTAAAAGCTAATTGTTAATGACAGGAGTGCCTATAATAGAATAGAATAGAATAGCACTATTGAGTGCTAATATTGTTTTTTTTTATTCATTTAGATCATGATCATGATAGTCATATTAGAACTAACAAAAAGTTAACAATAATGGAAATTAACTTAAAGTTACTTTTTGGTTCTAGAACAATGTGAACTAGGTACCTACCTATATAAAATAGGGATGTTGAGTATTTGTTTTTAAGTAGGTTCATAATCCGACTCATTAATATTTTGTTGGTGGTTAAGCATAAATGTTAAAAGATCTCAAGGATAGCCATTTAAGTACTGATAAAGTGAAACTAGTAGCTAGAATAAGATAATGTGTTTATGTTAGGCATAAAAATTGAATTACAAAATATTTTTATGCACATTTTAAATACCTACTATAAGATAGATTACTTATGTAAATAAAGGCAGATATTTAATTAATAAAATATTGTTTTGATTATACGTTAAATATTTTCAACTTTAATGATAGGTGGGTACCTACATATCTCCTACTTGAACTACATGCCAATAATTAGACGAGTAGGGTTTTCTGTAGTCTTTTGGATTTTGAGCATATGTTTATTTATTATTATTCAATCACTTAAAAACTGTTATAAAAAACAAATATTAAAGTATTTTCTTTGATTTTGTCACATGTTTTGTTTACTAACTAATGTAAATGGGATTTTATGACAATATAATTCCAGACTGACATGCAGTTCTCTCTTAGAGTGCCAATGATTGGGTACTTTACCCTAAGTCCAAAATTCATAGATGGTCACGCCTACCGAATGACTTTTTTTTTCAATTAAATAAAAAAATATAAAATATAATTGACTGATAATTGATAGTGGAAGTGGAAGTTTTTTTGACCAAAGAATATTTTTTTAAATAGCGAACTTCGAAAAAATCACAATTTTACCCAAAAAACGCGATTATTTCATAGTTTTGATTATTTAAAAAAATGTTTCTCTTTTTCGAAAAATCATTCAAAAACAAAAATTATCAAAAAAAAAACGTATCTGCAGGTCAATTTTGGAAAAAGTTATGGCCATTTGAAAATTAAAATGCCATTTTTTTTAAATTCATTACTTTTTGAGGTCAGGAGAAAAACTTTGAAAAATTCTCGAAAATATTTCTCATAGGGTAGAAAATAATGTAAAAGTATCAGCTTAATCTAAAGGGGTTGGGTTCTAAAGTTGTCTATTTGGCATGAAATACCCCATATATAGGCGAGAATACTTGGGTTATGGTGATAATTTTGTGCAACATTTTTAACTTATAAATGGATTTTAACTGAGAGAGTTTTCGTTGATGAATCGATTGCATTCGCGTCAATATAATGTTACGTTCATTTCTTGGGTAGTATTGAAGTTGGGGCACAGTTGAATAAAGATAAATATGAATATGACTTAGGATTCACTTTATAAAGTGATTGAAAGTGATTGATGTGATTGAAAATGGATAATAACCACAATCATTTTTACCATATAAGTAGGTTTTGTTTACATTGAAGAAATTGTCTTTTTTGACTTTGACTTTTAGTAAAATATTAGGAATTTGGGCAAACTACATATTACCGAATGGATTCTTTAAAGGATCTCTGAAAATGTCATATCATACATAAACATATATTTTTTTAATTTTAATTTTTATTTCATAAAAAAAACTTATCAACTAGTGTTTACATGAGTGATTGAACTAAACGTTCACAACTTACACAAAAACAATAATAAACATTGATGCTACAGCTACGAGTCAATTATAATTAACAATTATCATTACAACATTAATCACTTACAGTTATCACTTATCCGCTTAACAATTAGTATCGTTTTAAAACTTAAAAACTATTAATTACAATCAAACGTCTCAGTCACATTGCAGCGAACGACAAATTCACTTAGCGCTACTTATAAATTTAATCACTTAAAAACTAATTCAGAAATCATTAACGAAGCTGGTTGTATCACAGGTATCATCATTAACTAACCAATTACATAAATCTAATTAAAGCTGAACTAAATTTTACGTGATAAAGCATCATTGGTTCCGATTATTAATCTAGTAACTAATTAGTCTTAATTCAAGTCTCGATTCCACCGATCACATTCATTTGCAACGAGCGAATATCATGTGTTTTTTTAGGTTTTTTAATTTTTTCTTTATATTCTTATCATGTGCAAAAAGTGCGTATGTACAAGACGGTGCGAGGTAAAGCCTACTTATGTGGGTGCTCTATGCTAAGTTCCATTAAAGCTAACTGCTAAAGCTATGCATTAATCATTTTTGTGCTTATTTACAAATAAACATTGACACTATTTCGGCCTATTTCCCGCGGATTTGCCTCCATGCCCTGTGGACGAAGGAGGACATCCTTCGGGAACTTAAAATCTAGTTAAAGCTTTCGAAGAGTTCGATCAATTAAAGCGAAGTTAAAGCTGCTAAATCTATTATTAAATCATATCAATTCAAATATCACAGTATCCATTATTGCTCCGAATATATTGCAAATCCCTAAAATTTATAATTAACCTAAATTTTGATTGCACTTAGCGATTGCGTGTGAAGCTTATACGATAATAAAATTGCACGTGTTATAAAGCTGCATGTGTGCGTTTGTAATTAATGGAAGACCAAGGATTGCAACACATGCTTAAATCCTAATTAAAGCTTCTCCAAGTTATGATTATTTAAAGCTCAATGATTGCCGCCTCGACATACACTCCACCGAAGTCGAGATATGTCGACGCAATTAATTGTGAATTATAAGTAGATAAAGCTAGTTTTAAAGCTTGAGCAAATCCGATGTGTTTTTTTTTAATGTTAGCAAGATTTCTCTTATTATTTATTAAAGCGATATGTATGTTAAAGCTGCGTAAGTAATCCTAATAAATAAACTCTGCATATTTAGCATTGCAAATCAATTATCACATGTTGAAATCACTGATGACTTATAACCTAAGTTTTAAAGCTCCCTTGAATTGCTTGATGCTTTCATGATTAATCTACCCCTTAAATGAATTACTAGCCTAAATGATTTCTGATGATCCTAGCCTATACTTAAGTCACATTGAAGGTATTTAATTAAAGCTAGATATACCGTTATAAACTAAAGCTTAATTTAAGGTTATGTTGAAGTCACTTACAACTAATGAGTATCATCGGAATAATTCGTAGTCGTCGTCCTGATTGGTCCTGAATCGAGTTGATCAGCTTGGAAAGCTTGACAGTTTTCATTGGGCTATGATCGATGTGATCAAGTTAGAGCTCTAACAGTTCGTTGATGATGTTGTCGTGTATTTCGCTGCTGTGGTCGGAGAACTCGACCGGCGAGGAGCTTTGGGCGAAGTCCTCCCAGAAGTTATTCAAGTTGATCTTGGATGATGGCACGATTTTACGAGATAGTCGGGGTTTCAATTGCTATTAGAAACAAACATTGACTGTTAATTACTGGCATTGTGACGACATTCACCTGATTTGTCATTATTGACTGATAGTGTTACATGCATGATTGATTGTGATTGTGTATTTGAATGATGCTTACCTGTTTGATTCGACCCCAAGGTGTTGTAGCCTTGAGCTTGACAGCAGCCATGCTCGCTTGCTTCTTAGTGTTGTTAGCGTTATTAAGATTATTTGGCAGACACATTGTCGTGGTTGTAAGTTAAAAACGTGAAGTAAAATAAGTAAAAACACTCACTGAGTGCGTAGTAGACTTAAGTCACACGTGTGTTTTACGTATGTAAACGGAAACGAGTAGAACGCAACAGAGCTGACAGAACGACGCTAGCTCGGTGGTGCTCACCGTCGGAGTGTGCTGAACGTTTCGTCAGGTGTGGGTTATATACGCCTTCGCCGGCTACCTGATAGCTACGGCGCAAAGCTCGAACGGCGCGAGCTCGGCATGCGCTAAGCTCGCGCTCAACACGCGCGCGGCGCGCGCGTAGCTTTCGTTCTCTGTTGGTAGGATATCGGCGCGTATCTACCTGTTGCACACGCTTGAAACCACCCCCTGAACGTGGTTGGTAAGGTGAGGCACTTGCCATCACACTCCCGCATGTGGAATAGATTATGAGCGCCTTTTTCAAGGAAGAGGAGATGAGCTTTTTGGGTTGTGGTAGGGAGGAATATAGCGTGCAATTTCAACTGTGTGGAAGCAGCATGCGACCGTTACGAGTGAAGATAATGAAATCTTTTAGGGATTTTGTAAGACTGATTCGAAGATTGATTCTAACGGCTTTTCCCACGAATTTCTGTTTGCTTTCTTAGGAATTGGAAGTTATCACCAACTGGCAAGTTTGGATCGTTAATTGATAGAAAATGAAAACACTTTTACTTTAACTTAACTTTTAATAATCTTATTTTTGATTTTTTTAAAATTATTTTTCTTCACATTTCTAAACAGAAGACATAATTAATGTGTTTGAATAGAGTTGGGTTAATTGAATTAACTAAGATACGTCTTTGTCTTCTAGTTATCTCTATAAAGGATGAAAACTTCTCTAATTACATCAATGAAAGCGTCTCTAGATCTTTGTAATTTAAGACGTTTAGAGAGCATTCCTGACACTTCAAACTTCATCAATGGCTCAACTCCTTTTAAGAAATTACCCAATTTGAGTTGAATACTATGAAGACAATAGTCTATTTATTTGTTTGTTTATTTGTGTACTCTTTGCTGATTTCCGTCCACTTTCAAGTTTCAAATTTCCTCCCAGTGTTCTAATTCAAACGCCTAAATGGTCATAATATCAGTACGATGAAAAGCTTTTGATCTTATTTCATTTGCGGCTTCAATTTTTCAATCACACACTTTATTATGTGGTACCTACGTTCAATATTGTGCATTACTTTTATTATGGCGGCGCGCGTAAAAGGATTTCGCGCACACTCCTTTCCATTGTTCGCCGGCAATGCATTTCATCCCTTTGGCTGTTTCCCATTCGCCGGCTCGTCGGTGCTCGATTTGCGCGCGAATCGCCGCCTTCATCATTGCATTCTCGCCTTTTTGGTCCTCGGCGCGCAAATAATAGCCATCATCAACAATGGCGAAACCAAAGACCGCGCACGTTCGCCCGATTCGCGCTGCGAGCGCGTGATCGTGGGCGTGCTCGGAACGCGCGCGTTCCAGTTTTCACTCGTCGCTCTTGTAATCTTCGGCCCGAGCGTGCGATTCCTTTGGCGTTTCGGCGTAAACAACTCTTTTGTGTAGCGCGCAAATCCTTTCGAGGCTTGCCAAACATTTGCGACCCTTGCCACTCTTTCTTCTATTGAAATTCAGGCGCGTTTTGGGTTTCGCATTTTTCGCAAAAAAAAGCAATAACAGACCAGGTAAGCGACGTTGGCACGCCGCGTAATTTGAACCCGTGCCGCTTTTTAGAGCGCACGAGCGGAATAGAGAGTGTTTTCGGCAAATTCCTTCCTAGTCATCAATAGAAATGTGGAAGTCTTAAATACCATGTTTTCTTCGAGCGGATAACTGTTATTTTGCAACAATAAAAAAATATTTGGAATTTTGAGGAAATATTAGACATTTGAACTTGCCATGAGAATAATATAGGTAGGTACATCTTTATCAAAAATATTTTATATAAAATATACAAGGATGTATCACATGTTCACCGGCTTGCATACGGCCAATGTGATAACGTAGGTAGGTAATAAAATTTGCATACTAACTGCTAAATAAACTATCAAGAGATTAAATTACACGCCGCCTAAGAACAAATTAAATGAATCGCAGCCATTATGGAGGACCTACATTGATGATACTAAAGAACCAACACATTTATTTCATATTCTCTACATGTTTCTATTTTTTATAAACAAAGATTAATTAATTCATTGAAGAAATTATTATTTCGAAGGGCTTGTTGCAAACGTTTGTATGCAAAGTACTCTGTGATTAATTAACTAAAAGTTGCGTTTTTCAATAGGCAATCAAGCCGATTGATTTTATGTAAATTCAAAAAAAAAAACATGTCTTTAACACCATCTTCAGATCAATTTTAAAACAAATCTATATGTGTGTTTTGTGTTGCGTGATTTTAAAAGGATGCTCTTTGACTTTGCACCTAATGAAAACATCCAGGAGTGGGGTAAATAATCGGTAGGGATTAAGTTATCATCCCAAAATTATTGATCGAATTTGCGAACCTTGAATGCCTTGCAATATGCAAATTTTGCCATGCAAATTGAATTTTTTTGCGCGGGAGCAATTCTGCTGCCCTGATTGCGCATCCGCCCCAGTGGCATCTAGCGCGAGCCGGCCACGCTTGCCAGAGGAAGGAAAAAAGGCAGCGCACACGAACGATACGCGCGCGGAGCACGTTGCGACTCTCTCGCCCGTCGACCACGTGTGTGCGTGTGCTCGCCAGGTGCTGCTCGGGTGTGGGAACCTCCGATCGCGTCGAGTTCCCAGGACTTCGCCCAAGCGCTACGCTGGCGAAGACTCAAGCAAAAGGGGAGCACCTGCTTTTCACTCGGCGCATATACTACGCACTTACTCATCCACTTACTACACCGTTTACTACGAGCTTACAACCACCGACACCAACGCCAAGCTGAGCTTACTTCACATAAACCTAACCATGTGCTTTTGCAAGAGAATAAGAAAGTCTCGCGCCCGAAACGACAAAAAAGGAGTAAGAATATTTATAACGGTCGAGAGAAGTCGTGTGCATGACGTGTGCAAGACTCACACTTTTTTCTGATTTCAAATTTTCTAATTTGGATATTTTTCTACTAGGAAATAAAACGCCTTGAACTTGTTTGTAGTACGCTGCAAACAAGGGTCACACGTCCTTCCTGCGACGTTCATTCGCATTCATTCGCTGTACTGACCACCGGCCTGCACACCAGCCACTGCCCGCTGGCCACTTGAGTGTAACTCATTCACAAAGTCGAGCGGCCGGCCGAGTAATTAATGAACGAAGGCGTCGCGTCGCAACGGAACTGCGACGGGAAAATGCGCGACGAGCCGGACTCCGCCAGCGTTCCGCGGAGGCTGGAGATCAATTGCACACTCGCAGCACCTGCCTGATATTCCCACGTTATACAACGATCCGGCGTTGTGCTCGTTTCGACGCGAAATCGTGCGCCGCGCGAGGCGGATAATGAGCGCAAAAAGGTGGATGATGCAAAATAAGCGCCAACACAGATGTGCGATCGACTAATGTCTTCGCAGCACACAGCATTCGATGCAACACGCATGCAGAAACGCGTTGACAAAAAAGAGCACGCATCGCGAAGACGTTTATCGGAAATGAGCGTGAGAACTGCCGAAAATTAACTTACTGCAAATAAAACGCAATCTAAACTGAAAACAGAAATATTTTCGTCTGCCTGCTCGTTTAGAAGATGTGTATATGGTTGCCTACATTTCGGGCTAAGTTCCGATTATTTGAACATTCTACATAGGTGGCGTGGTTGGTTACTGTGGTTATGGGGTGTTGATGCACGATTGTTTCGCTAGTGGGCGAGTGGCACATCGCGCTGCACAATTTGTTCAATTTCACCGGGTATAATGTGGTCTACACGATTCGATCTTAGCCCGGTCCCTCCAGAAGACGACATTGACAGTGAATCTAGCGATGATGAGCCCGAATTGCCTGTTCGTACTTATCATCTAGCTTGTGTGCACATTTTGAACCCTGACGTAAGTTACCCATCGAATTATAAAAAGCAATGTTCTTTTGCAATGGAAGTGCATGGATGTCTTGCTTGGCGTACCTTCGGTATGTTGTGATTTATATTTTGACACATGGGGGCCCTTCTCATTTTGAACGTCACTCGTTCTCTTGTGGATATAATTTTATCGCGATCAGACTTGTATTGCGTTTGATCATGCAATTCATTCCGGAAATCATGAACATCTCTTGACTATGGCGAACCATGTTTCTCATTTAAATCATACACTGAAAATGTACTACGCTAATGTAATTTTTCTAATTTATTTTGATTTGATTGTGGTAGTGCGTTATTCTCGGATCATACGTACATGACATAACTGAAAATCGGGATGCACTTGGTACGTTTCAAGACTTAAACAGTTATTACAAATGTTTTTATTATAATACACATTCAATTGTAGACGAGATGGTGTTCCATGTACCAATGCGGTACATTCATATTGCTGAAGTTGATATTCTGGCAGGTTATCATAGTAAGTTCTTTATTTAACCATCTTACAAATTTATTATTATCGGCAAGTTGAATTATTTTAAATTCAGTGCTAATTGAGATCCCGATTTTGATGGACTTGAGCGATGGTATCTTTGGTCTTAATCGAGAAGGTAACTATAATGGCAATATAAAGTAACATTCATTTGCAATAATGTTTCTTATATATAGTTGGTTTTACGCATTGTTGTGTCCTTCGGTGGATCGTGGCGTACGACCGGGCAGAGTTGTACGAACTGGTAAGTATAATGTAGGTATATGATGTGTTCAATATTTCTCTATTTTTTATTTTTGTAGGAACCGATTGAATTGCAGTTCGAACCAGAATGCGCATTTCACTAATCAACAATTAGGTACAACACTCGGCATGTGTATGTAAAGGTAGTTTAAGATAATTTTGCAGAGCTTTACTATTTAATCAATTAAAATGTGTTGAACAGCAATAAAATATATTTTTCAAACTTAGTTATCTAGGCATATTGTGCCTTATGATGAATGTCATTGTTAAGTGGGATAGTTCATGGGGATCTTTGATTATTTAAAGGTCAACTGATCTTCCCACAACTCCAAGTCTTTAACATGTCACCCTTGATTCCATTCGTTTTTCATTTTGCACCTCAACCAAAAACGCACTCCACACAATTTTTGAGCTCCCACACAAACACAATAGAAATTAACTTGTCGTTTTAGCCCACTGAAAAAGGAGGACGAATTGCGTTTTGTCATCTTGTCCAATTTCGTAGTGGATCTTTGTATCGATGAGGGTTTTTTGTGATTTCGCTTATTGTGTGCAGTTTTTGGGTCATAGATTATTACGCATAAAAGGCACCTGTGGACTTCGATCTCATGGATTTTGCCCTCCCATTTTTACGTTTATATTCTCTATTTGCCTTTTGTCGAGCCTTAATTTTGGATTATACAGCATAATGAATAACGAAACGATTTTTTATAAATTTCACGTTGGTTTTACCACGGTCGAGAAATGGAATTGAAACTGGAATAGTCGAATAGGAATTGAAACCAAGATAGAAAAAAAAAGACAAGAACCGAATTGTTAACGGTCGAACGCAAGGTTGCGGTAGTTGCGGGATTACCACTCTTTTCTTTTCGCCATAAGTTTTTATAAGTCCATTTTTCTTTGAAATTTTGTGTGTTCCAATCGAGACTAACCTTTTTATGTAAAATAAATACGCCGTCATATAAAGTGTCAAGATCACGGATTCGAAATGAAAAAAAAAACACGTAATCTGAGGGTAGAAACCCTATAATAACCTATACAAACACAAAAAACTGTTGAATACTTTAAGAAAAGTACCCGAAGCCCGCATCACATAAAAAATGCTTCGGAGTTCTTTTTCATGCTAAGAATACTATTAAAAAAATTGTATCGATAAGTAGCGTAATCTTTCTAGGCGGAGGACGAAATATCAAGATAGTTTTCTAAAATTTCATCTCCATAAAAGGAATAATCAACAGTCAAGAAACTAAATCGAGCCACAGTGAGACGTAGCGAGGCGAAAACGTATAAAAGTGAAACGAAACGACAGCGAAAGGGTTGGATGTCTGAAAGGGTTGAAAAACACCACAAAAAATTGACCCATCTACACCCGCGGGGAAATCATCGTAAAAAAAAACGAACAAATGAAAGTTTCAAATATTTTTTGTTAGTGTAATGATGAGAGAAGAGAAGAAAAGGAAAGTTTGAACCCTTAAGACATTCCACTACCCAAATAATTTCGACAAAAAAACGTCATTAAAAATGATTTATATTTATTTACCTACTAGAAATAACATTTGATCTGTTCTTCGCAGCGCAATTTTCAATTTACATTTTATTCGGAGCATCATCCCATCCCAGCGCAATTAATTTCAATTACACTGACTTTGATTAATGCAGCATTAATTGTCGAATTAAACGATTGCGTAACTGTTAATTCAATGATGATGGATTTTTGCCTACGAATGTTTAAATTATGCAATACACCAAATTAATTCGATTTAAATTTACTTTCAAATTCCACGAAAAAAAAGTAGCGTTTTAATGCTCGCTGAGCAAGATATTCATTTTTTTTTTGTATTCTTATTGGCTCTTATTAAAACTATTAAATCGGTTGAAATTGGCGTTTCGAGTTTTACTGAGGTAGTTGCGCGCCGCGAGTAATTGTAGAGGAATCGCAGCAAAATCGAGAGTTGAGCAAATCGAAGCGGAGCAAGTCGTGACTTACTCCACCCGCTGAAAACGCGCCTTTGGATTTAATTTCTTTTTTGCTTCCACACGAGTCAAACAGCAACCAAAAAAAAAATAACATAACTAGTGTAGCATGACTCACGAAACAAAGCAAAAAACATGCATTATTTCAAGATTTAAAACTTTTCTAAACATAGTTTTAAACTTAAAATCTTTTTGATTTAATAATTACAATTTTTTACAGGCATTACTTTAATAGAATCCACAAAGTAATAAAAATGATACTTAAATCATTTACAATAATGGATTCTTATTGGTTCCATTTACCTAATAGCACGAGACAATTTAAACTCGGAATGCCATCTCGTGGCATTTCCGTGAAGCAGGCGCGCGAAATAAAATGTTTGGAGAAAGATGTAAAGGGCGATAAATGAAGATGGATGCAGAGAATATTACAATGCCCCGAAGCGATCATAATGAACCGCAGAAGAAGCACCTATAACGCGTCCGCTCGCTCAAGAGACACGCAAGAATGAAATGCGATGCTGGGCGAGAGCAAGACGCGCGAAGAAGAAAAAGCCGTGAGAATTTTAGACAGGTGTTCTTCCTTCATCGGTTTCATCGCCGTTTTTCATGTGCCACCATTGATGATGAGAACGAGAGTTTACGTAAAGCGGCGAAGTGGTGCTGGCGAGCGTGAGGAGGAAGAAAAAAACGACGCGGCGAGCTACCGTATTACGACTTGGATTACGGATCGCTTCCTTTTCGTGCGCGGCCTTTTTTTGCGCCGCGTTTCTCTCGCTCCGATTAAAATATAGTCCGAGGATTCGGGCGCTTTTTTCACTTTTATCTCGACCAGTGGAAGGTTTTTTTCGGCCGCGATGCGTGAGTTATTGACGACGCGGGCAGGTTGCGGTCGTTGGTTTGTTACTGTTAGTTTCGGGCTACTGGATATTTCTGTTGGTACTTATCTTGTCACATCGCATGAAGTAATCCCAGATTCCCGATGGTAATCTATACATTCCGAAATTATGGCACTCAACTTTCTGAAAAGCAAGCTTTTTGCGGGTGCTTGTAATCCAAATGATCTTCATAAATTTTCTTCCGAAAACCAAACACTTTATTAAGCAACAATACTAATATAATAAGACACAATAAGGAAGTAAAGTCAAGCGAAAAGACGCAGACCACAAACGCACACCACAAAACGACATCACATTGTTCCAATCGGTCGGAACGTCACATTGACCACATCGTAGCATTCCACATATCACTAACACAGATGCCCAGGAGACAAGTATCACTTCATCCCATAGGTACTCGGTCAGAAATTTGTTGATTGCGACGTGACGTCCACGAAATCGCGAACGGAACTAAACTCCAAAAACGGCTCACCACTCATCTACCAGTAAGAGAGTATGATCAACCCCTATGTAATAACAATAATCTGATTGGAATCGTAGGGGAGAAATGCAAAATCGTCCAATCCCGGAACTGGCGCTGCGTGAAAGGGGAGCGGAACCAGGAAATCACAGTCGGGCGCAATATAACCGTGAGAATTCGTGGCGATTGCATTGTTGATAGCTGCTTCTATCATATTTGGCTACGAGGGGAGATTGCGTTTACTTTGGGGTGACGGTGACGCTTGTAGGTCAATAGGTAGCACGTGCTATAATTAACAAGGGGACAAGAAAATGTCTGCATTGTTATGTGAATACAACGCGAAGTCATCGTAGACGTCTTCGTTGCAATTGGGGTGAATGTGCAGCTGCAAAGTCATTTTTATCATCTTGTTAACTCACCTGAATTGATATTGATTTCTTCATGTACGAGTAGGTATGGATTTGTAAAAAGTTTGCCATCAGAAATTTTTTTGAGTCATTAATGGTATCTTTGTTGTCTTTTCGGAAAACTGTAATGAATGAAGGCATTGATGATTGTAATTATACTTATTTTACACTGTGGATGCAATTTTTATGAACGGAAATGTTGTTCGTTGTCGATTGTTGAACAAACAAGCATTGAAAGTTATAAGGCAAAGAATATTGGTTGTAACTGTGTGATATTGTGAAATAGTTGAAGCGTGCGATATCGGAAGTAATGATGAAAAGTAAATGATGATTGTGCACTAGTAACATTTGAACTTTAACCGCCACGGCACGCTGTAAACTTTCTAAAAAGTTTTGCGAGACGTAAAATTGGCGCGCTTATAAATAAAGAGCGACGCGGCGGAGTGCGCGCCGCAGAAATTTATAACTTATTAGACAAAGAGTGCAATAAACTTGGAAACATGACTTAATCGTTTTCTGACTTCCCCGTGCGGCGCGCATATTTTTTGCGCGCCGCCATCAGCAGCGCGGGCACGTTCTCCGCGTCGTGCGCGATGCGCTTTCGCAATCGCACAATCGGCTGGCGCGCGCGCGCGTCCTGCGAAGGAGCGCGCGCGCGGGCTCGCGTCTGCGAACAACTCGTGCGCTGGCCTGCGCGCGCTCATTGTGTGCGTGGGCGCGGGCCGCACTTAACATTCAACAGATTGTACTTTATGTTATTTAATGTGCCCGTATAATTGCCGGGCCGCGCGCGCGAGCGGCATGCGCGCAAGAAGGACGCCGGTAGTCGGGCTGCGCGGCGAGCACGAGCAGGACGTGCGCACGGCGCTCGGCCAACAAACTCCGGCATTGTGCCGGCGCGCGGCGGGCGCGGGGGGTACCGCCGCAGCGCTGTTTTGGGAAGCTCTTCGGCGACGCGTTCCCACGCTTCTGTGAAGGCATGCGAGAGTAGGGCGCGCACCAACACGCGTCCAAGCGCGCGCCGGGCGTGCGAGCGGCGCGAACGCGGTCGAGAGGGAGCGCGCGGCGGCCGGTCACGCTACCGCGTGCGGCTCGCACCTGCCGTCGCCAACACGTGCTAACGCTGCCGACTTCTTTCGCCGGGCGGGCACAGCGCGTACCGACCGACCGACCGCTCGCGCTCTTTCATCGGTCGCAGCGCGGGAATTTATCGTTCCTGCGGCTCGCAAATTTCCTCATCGCTGACCCGAAAAACAAACAACAAACACACGCATATTTCGGAAAGTGAATTTCCGTTACACATCGCCGGCGTTCTTCGACCCGGCAGCGGCGCGGGTTTCTAATGTCCCAATGCCCACTTTTTTGTGCCGGCGATTTGTCCGACTTCTGCGTCGCCCGCGACGTCGCGTCGCGCTCTTATTACGTCGCGCCGCGGCTTTGAGAGTTTTTAGGTATCGCAGGACGGCGCGTCGACTACCGGCCGGACCGTGAGAACGTCGAAGAAAAATTATACGCTACCCATTTTGTACACGGTTCTCGTTCGCTTGTGCCCTGCGGCATAGCGTGCGTTCGCGACGCGGCCGAATCGAAGTCTCCTCTCCGCCGCTCCACACCTATAAACGATCTTACTACGCGTACAGAAGATACCGCGCCGCCGTATTCTTTTCTTGCCTGCGCTTTGCCGACGTACCGACGGCGCGTAAAAAATTGCCGCTGAAGGAGCGCTCGGAGATGGATTTCTTTATTTCCCAACGAGCCCTTTTTGTGCCCATTCATCCGCTGGACACCGAAACGCGCTCGCGGACTAATTGATCATTAGAGATTCACTCCAATTAGGCATCACAAAGGACGCATCTCGCATGTGCACCTCGATGTCACTCTGGGGCATTCGTTTTCATGCTCGGTCGCAGGGGCTATGTGAAAAAGCGCGAGTCGCTTAGTGCCTGCCAATTTGCTCAATTAGACTTGGTAATTTGGCGAACGATGAGTCAACGCGCGCGGCCTGTCTCGTGCGCTCGATAAGGAAATTAAAATCCGATCGATCAGGATCTGAAGTAGTCATAAACGTGGCAAGCGTCATTAAGATATATCGACGATTATAAATTTGACGTGGTTTTATGAGAACCGGCACTGAAATCAATTTCCACAACGCTTGGCAATGCGTCCTCCTCGTCGGTTCGTCTTGCTGCGGTTGAGTCAAAGTGGTCAAGAGCTCAAAACCCACCCAATTGGTGAAGAAATCGTATTGATATCTACCGGTAGATAGATAATTACAGCGCCGCGGACGCTAAAAGAGATTCATTGATGCTCCTTCGTGCGTGATATATTTTTTACGATCGCTCTTCACTAATCGGCCGCGGCGGCGTTTAAGGCACCGTCCCGTGCCGCGCGCGCTTGCTGCCGCTCAAGAAAAAGCTCCACACGAGCGAGCGCGCAGCGCGGTGCGGTCGGGAGCCGCGCTTATTAACCGCGCGTCTCTGTCCGATTCGTTTCGTGCGCGGTGCGTGCGTGCCGCGGCGCGTCGAGATCGCTCCGCGCGCCCGTGTGTCGGTTTGTTGGCAACAACAACGCGAGTCGGATGATTGGTATATAATTGTGGGAGCGAGCGGCTCAATCAGTTAACAGGAAGCAGTAATCACGCTGACTGCGGGCATGACTCGCCTGGTTCTCACGGTGCACGAGCCGCACGCCCACTTAATCACCGGCGGACCGAGCGAGTCGGCCGATTGCGCGCCGTCTTCGTCGCGGGCCTTCCATTCAGCGCGAGCCGAACGAGGTGAAACTCGCGCGTCGCAAGAGGCATTCACACAACAAACAGCCAGCGCGAGCCAAATGTTTACTCATGAGGCGCTCGGTATTAATGACGACGCGCGGCTCGCCGCGGTCGCGCCGATGCAAATGCGCGCAGCGCTATCAATCAAAGAAATCGCCATCCTCATGACTTCCACTCTACCACTATCTATAGATGCATTAATGCGCTTCCGAGGGCAAAAAGTCAATGTGAACAGATTAGAAAATTTCGCGAATGCTCCGATTGCGTCGGTCGCTCGCTCGCTTCGTGTTGCGTCGTCGGGTGTTTCGACACACTCAGGCCGATGCGCTTAAGCACCTGCCGCATGCGGTGACTCGAGAGGTTCCCACGAGCCACCGGAAGTCCAATTAAACCATCTGAAAACGTAGTTCACCGAGTTGGAAGACGCCCGAAGGCGCGCTTGTTTTCGCCGCGCGCCGTTACCGACGACAGATAACTTGCAATCAAACACGTCGCTCAACCCTCACCTAGTTATTTTTCGTGTGGGGTCGAAACGATGCTTTCGTCAACCGAATAACTTTATTTGGCTCATACCTAATCACTCGTCAGATCCCAGTTAGGAGTTTTTAATTGAAATTTTCCATGGCCGCAGTTAATTATTGGCAAGTGGATTATGCAAAATGCGTATCATTTCGCTAGGGTGGTAAATTGGATTGAATTGGATGGTACCCAACGCGAGTGCTGGCGATCTGGTTAAATATAGAAAGGGGGAACACCGCGTCGCGTCGGTGCAGCGCGAGATTTGCTTCAATAGAAGGAAACGACGTTATTGCGTTACATTACGATCATAATGCGGCGTTTTGTCGTACGTTTCGGTTGCACTTTTCGTGCTTCGCGCCGTCCTCGTCGGGCCGCGTGCGCGGTGCACTACCGGCGGTGGCTAAGACGAAGAGCGCGCCGCACAATGCGCCAGGTGCCGGCCGAGAGGCATTCATAACAAGACCTCTGCGCGCTCGAACGTGTAAGCGTGCGGCGCGCCGTGCCGTACGCCGTGTGTGCTGGTATTCCGCCGCCCGTGGGAACGCTCCGAGAAATGTTTCCCCACGAGCAATGTGTGCCCACCGTGTGGCACGATACCTACTCGCTTTCGCGCGCGCGCTCGCCGAGCGCACGGCACAAGCCGGACATGCTTCTTCTTTCTTGGAGGGCCGCGCGAAGAGGGAAACACAATACCGGGGCACACCGGCGACGACGGCGATGCACCAAAAAAGGGTTATCACGCGCCGGCAATTCGAATGCTAATGCGCTAATTGCACCCCAACAAATTAATACCGAATTCTTTTCGAGACGAAACCAACTTGACTTCTAAATCATTCCAATTCATTCCAATTAATTTGTTATTATTTATGCCTACATATTTGAATTTTACACGAACTGAAAGAAAATTAACACTTAATGGTTTTGCTGTTTGCAAGTTGGTTTGATTAATTTACCGAAAACAGTGGCTCAGTACTCGATTACCATTAGAGTAGGTACCGCTGCAATTAAAATTGGATAGTTTTGCAAATTGCATTTGTTATTCTTGCATAAGAAGTTCCCATGAACCCCTATACTTCGTACGTTGTGCATAGGTTTGCGCCCTATTGATCGCCGTGCGTTTGTTATTCTATTCATTCCGCGGCTGGGCGCATTCTTGAAGACCTCTCCTGGTATTCTTCGAGGGGTTGGCGTGCGACGGTCACACGCTCGGCGGAACAATGCGCCGGCATTCCAGGTACCCTACTCGCGGGGCGCAACACACGCACGCTCATCCCTTGATAACGCACCGTGACATTCCGAAGGGTGCACCAGCAATACTCTATACCGTCCCCACTCCGTACCACGCGCCTCTCTTCGTATAAAGCATTCGCGGAGCGGTTCATCCACATCATTCACTCGCTTGCCGGCGCAGTCGACACAAGCATCTCTTCCGTGAGCGCAGCAAGCACGTAGCGCAGCATAGCATCACACGCAAGTGTCAGTTATCAGTTATCGTTCGCGACTTGACAGTGCATAACAATCAGTGATAAAGACAATGGCGCCCACCACATACATGGTCTCTTCCTCGGAGTACACCGAAGAACCTATCTCTCGCACCTACCAATACCGCAAAGTGATGAAACCACTGCTGGAGCGCAAACGGCGCGCCAGGATTAACCGATGCCTGGATGAACTTAAGGAGTTGATGGTTAGCACGCTTCAAAGTGAGGGCGAGAATGTCTCAAAATTAGAAAAGGCTGATATTCTTGAACTCACCGTACGTCACCTGCACACCCTCAAAAGACAACACCAGCTCGTCATCCCCAATGAACCTACGTACACCGATCGCTTTCGCGCTGGATTCACGCAGTGCGCGCAGGAGGTATCACAGTTTATCACATCGCCGGCGGAAATCATTGAACCGACGGCCGGTAAGCGCCTCCTGCAGCATCTCGGTGCCTGTGTGCAGCAGCTCGACCAAGGACCGCAGTCGCCGTCACCTCAACCCAACCAGCAAGCGCCACGCTCGCCGCCAATGAACGCTCATCAAGGGCAGCCGTCGCCGGCGCACCACTACGAGCGAAGCTACACGCCGCCCACGTCACCCGCGAACAACACCAACAATCAGGCGTCCATGTGGAGGCCGTGGTGAACGCATTCTCGACCTAGGGGGTTCGCAAAGTGCAAATACGGACGAGAGTCTTCCATTGATTACATTTAATTGTTGTTGAGTTTTTGGAAGCGGGGGCAATCAAAGAAATTTAACAATCGACTATGAACTTTTGTAGCTTTAATTCTGTGATATTTAATAAGCTTTTTGTTGTATATAGTAAACAATTATTACTTATTTTCTTTGAATAATTTTATAATGTCTTTATGAGAAATGACTATTATTGTACTTGACTGAACTATGTAAACACTAGACAATTAGTTGTCAAGTTAAAACTTCGAAAATTCGATCAACACAAGCAATAAATTTTGTTTGAAACATATCCAACCGTATACTGATTATTTTTTTTACTTCCGCATTCGGTTAAAACCCCCTGTGAAGTGTAAGATTTTCTCTATTAATCATAGGCATCATATAATATCAATGAAACTTACTAATCCTTATCAGTGTTTCCATATGTGAAGGTTAAGTGTTGATTACAATTCCACAGTGTTTGGAAACTTCATTGCCGATCATTTATTTGTATAATTCAGTATGTATGATAAAAATCGAGACGTTGTGCAAACATTGTGCCAAAAATTTCTCCGTAAAACAGTATTCAGTCACGGTGATTACCGTGCGATTGGATGAATTCATTCAAGTCGCAACACCTTTAGCGCAATGTCGCACTATAAACTAATATCTATTTTATTAATTTCGACATATTTTCGTACGTCATCAGCGAGATGTTCTCAGAACTTCAGGTTAGACGTATGTGCACAACAATGTCCTACTGCCTATGAAAACAAACTTTATTTTACCTGCTGCAATGTACTAGGTAAGTCATGAATTCGAACTGAGTGAATATATTTCGGCAATGTGTGAATTTTCTGGTGTAGAGAAATACGGTGAGTGTCCATCAAGTGAGACCCCAACTTATGATCACACGTTCGATTTGACCGAATTGGAATGTTGTTCGGACTTGGACTGCCCCGACTCGTACAAATGCTGCAAAGAGGCGGACTATGAAAAACCCTACTACTCGTTGTGTAAACCACCGATATTTACCTACGCAAGTGAAGATGAAAAACAATCGTTTGATGAGCCCGTACATTCTGGTGAAGGCGATACTCTCACCGAAGATGATACTGAAATTGATTTTGTATCATCTTATCGGGATGATTCGGGATCAGGGTCAGGATCAGGTAGTGGAAGTAAAGAATATTCACATGAATTCGGCAGTCAAGACATGACTCACTATGATGAGGAAATAAAGAAAGAATATGGGTTTGACGGGTCCCAAAACTGGAAGCCAGGAAGTGGCAGCGGGAAAGAAATTGACGGATCGGGTAGTGGTGATAATTCCAACGAAAACGTCGAATCATTATCGAATGACAAGGAGCCCATTGATTATGCTACCGATGACTTCAGTTTTGCATGATTTGAAGACACCGTAGTAACATAGTAAATATTGAGTAACTTGTGAAATAATAAACATGAACTTTGTCCTTGTGTATGACAGTTTTTATGATAACGACACCGTTTCATGGATGAACGCCGTTCGATTAGGCGTTTTGGCATTGTAGTTGCACCTATATTTGCAACATAACACGACGCCACATTGTTTGTCATTCCTAACGCAAACAAGATAAATAATCTCATTCTCAAGTAACATTCGAGGCCTATATATTATTGTCATGTGGCACAACTTGTGCGTTAGATCGTTCTCGAGTATCACATTGTACGCATCAAAGAAATTTCCATCGTCACACACGATGGCAGCACTAGCGCATTTGATTGTTGCATTACTCCTATTTACTGGCGGTACACTCACTAGTGGCCACAGTTGCCAACAATGGGATTATCATTTCTCCTACCTGCTGGATGCGGCCGGCTGCCGGCCAATCTTCCTCGCCTGCAAGGATGACCAAGAGAAGCCCGGGGCGTGCCCTTCAGGATGCCAATTTCTTGACTCTGCTAAATACAATTTCGACAAGATTCGCTGCGTGGCTGATGCTGATTGCGAAATTGGGTACAAATGCTGTTCGGATGATTGTATTCCGTTTAAAATTTGTCGTCCAGCTTTTTATGAATGTGAAGAGTAAAATATATATTTAACATTTTACAAACTTTTTTGGGACATATTCTGTAATTATTAAATAACTGTATTTGATGACATATATTAAATATGAATATGTAAGCGCAAACAGAAATTTGTTTTATTAGTCACTTTAAAGTAGAACTTTCAGGAATATAGGGATTTGTTGGGTCGCAAAATTGGCGTAATTTTCAAACATTTAATACAAATATTTGCTAAATGCAATCTAGGACAAGTAAGTATTATTATTAAAATCCTTGAAATGTAATCAGCAGACGTATTTGGTGGGGCGTTTAATGCTGAATTAAAAATAGTTTTTCAACAATTCACTATTATTGGATTTTATACAGATTATCAAACGACATTTGGTCTAGGTGATGTTGGAGGTGGTGCAGTGGTTGGTGGTGGTGTAATTGTTGGGCCATTGCCATTTTTGTTGTCATTACCATTACCATTTTTTATATCATTATGATTTTTGCCATTTGTTTTCTTTTTTTCGACTTCTAAAATAGCTTTCTTGCAAATATGATACGGTTTTGCGGTGTCTTCGGGGCAACATTTGAAACCAGGCGGACAATACCAATCGCCCACGCATTTTATATCATCATATCCGTCGACCGTCAGATCAAATTCGGTGGTGTTAGTTGGACAAGAACCCATTTTCTCTTAAAAATAAAAACTCATGATAATGTGTGTTAATGTCATAACTAGGCTTTACGCTTACGGCTGAAACTCTTGCAATTATAGTACATGTATCCGTGTCTGATGCGTATATCGTAATCTTGACATCCCTGATGTAATGGCTGTCTAATTCTTGGTACTTCTTGTTGATATTGTCCACAATTAGCATAGACGAGGGGCACTACCGCGAGAAGCAGTAATGGAATTTTTGACGTAATAAACATTTTTCACAAGTGCAAAACAAATCTGGCCACCTCGTTGATTTAGCTCGGTTTATATAGCAAATTATGCCTCAGATTGTTGATACATTTCTGCTAAAATTAATAATAATAACACAGGTCAACACAAAATTTGCCTTTTCGTTTAAAGGTTTAATTTCGATAATTTAGGTCACAACTACACGAAAAAAAAAATATATGACATAAAGAAGTTTGCTTCTGTACTCAGAATTCAGATTTAACTATATTTTTCAAATTTTGGGATTTTTATGTTTAATTAAGGATAGAACTATACAAATAAATTAATTTATCATTTGCATGAAATTTTACTATTAAAATAACTTATAAAAAAGTGAAATATAGATTAAAAGTGTACATTTTTGCCCTTTTTTTATGATCATAAGTGCTTTCTCTCAATAAACCCCAGACATAGGCTCCCATCATATTTTCATTATATTGGCCTTGATATAGTTGTTCGAAGTTCATGATATCCTGATGAAAACGTTCTCCTTGCTCTTTGGAATATGCCCCCATGTTATTTTTGAACTTATCTAAGTGCGGATGAAGCATATGTACCTACTTTCAAAGACATCCTGCAACCCATGGCCTTAAAATTTTTCAACATGTTTTCAACTAGTTTTTAGCTTTCTTATTTCCTAAGAATCCAGATACTACTACTTTAAAACTGTTCCAACTTGCTTTTTGGGTGTGATTCAGCAATTTTGGAAATTTTTCATCGGCGAAAATTTGCCTAATTTGCGGACCAACAAAAATTCCAGCTTTAACTTTTGCTTCAGATAACTTGGGAAAAAAAATTTTTCAAATAAGTAAAAGCTTCTGAGGTATTGTCAAACTGTTTAACGAATTGTTTCATCAAATCTTTTCTCTCCTCGATACCAACTTAACATGTAGAAATAACTACGAGTAATTTCAACAATAACAAAATCAATGAAATTACAAATGTTTTCCCTGTTCCTCCAGGTGCTTTCCCGCTTTTCTGTTCGAATTTTTCTACCATTTTCTTTGTTATATACCTCTCAGAGCCGGAGACCTATCCAACGAATGCAAAACCGTGAAAATCGGTTGGTGCGTTCTGGAGTTATAGCGACAGGAAGGAAAAGCCGTCTTATTTTTATATAGTAGATTTGAAAATGAGTATTATTACTACAGATATCACAAAAGCAAACTTTTTACCAAAATGAGGTATTCCCTGGTAGTTGTTGTGCATAATTAACCCAAAAATCATAAAATAAACTTTAGGACAAAAAACAAAAGTTTTTTTGTTGAGCCGTGTAATTATTATGTGGTAGATTACGCAAATTTAATACGCTACTTATCACACTTACTTGATAGAATGTAAGTTTCAAGATGTCACTAACAAAAAATAACAAGTTTTAATCGAGTATTATTGACCTTTTGATTAAAAATGTTAAAATGCGTTACAAAAATCTGCGATAACAATTATACCAAAAAGATAGTTACAGATTTACTTTAAAATTTCAACTATAACTTTGAAAATCGTCGTATCTTGTGTACCATTATCAAACACTAACATTTACCAAGTTGATACCCATAATGGCACTATAAATTAAGGTATCATGTGGAAAAACATCAGTATGGTGCTAAGAGTGATAGCATTCATTCGCCATGAAATATACATTATCATTGTTCGGCATAATTACTTCGTTTATTGTGATCGTATCTGCAATAAATGAATGCCAACATGCCAGATATTATCTGCAAAGCAATCATACGGTTGCTCTAGGCTGCGTTAGTCGCATTGGTGAGCAAACAAACACAGAAATTCGGCATCTCATATGTTTTGTTTTTAGAAAAAGTTGGAAATATTCATGGTAATTGTGAATTTCCAAAGTTGTTGCATGGTTATTACGACGTATATTTTCTTCGCTGCGCCTGCGACTCTCAATGCCCGAGTGGTTTCCGATGCGCCTTCGACTATTGCTTTCAACGGTCAATTTGTCGCAAAATATCGCTTCCAAAGTGTTCGGTCACGAAGGCACCAACGACACAAGTATCAACGACGCCACTTCTACCGCCGGCGGAATAATCGTTTAATTTTTATGTTTATTTTCGCAAAAAAATGCTAACTTATAGGGCGACGCTTTCGTCAAAGACTTTCGTGGTTTTGACGCTGAATGTATTTAAAAATAGCAGGCATATTGCGATGTTACTCATCACGAACGGCGGCCCAGCTTGGGAAAACCACTTGTTGCGCGTTTCACACGCGTCGCGAGTGGCGGCACCCGCCACCCGTTGCCACACGCTTATGGCATGTTCTTGCAAACATTCAACTTTTTCAAAATCGCGGAAAAGTAAATCATATTCGGTTTGGGCTTAATTTTTATATTTTGCTAAATTTAAATTAAAGAAGGTTAAATAATAGTATTTAAGATGTTTGTTCATAAAACCTAGCGGCGATCTTCAAAATAAAAATAAATATGTATTATACATACTCGTACATACTGTCTATTAGTATCTTCATGTGTACCGCCTCTCGGTTCTATTTTCATATGTTTCCACAGTTATTTTCGTTCTTTTGTTCGAAATATATTTATAATGTGCCTGCTTACTTTATATTTGTCTAGCAGTCAAACAAATTGTCAAGAAATAAATTTCAAAACTGAAAATTGTAAAAATTACACTTTTATTAAAAAAAAAAAAAACGCTCATTCATGTGTATAGGCGTATGTACCTATAAGTTCTTCATGATGTGTGTTTATTTATAACTGGGGTATTGTTGGGATATCCAGAGTGTAGTTTTTTTTACTCTTGCTGGCAATGATATCTGGTGCTCATGTGGTAGGCGGCTATGCTGTTTTCTATGAATGTAACGTTCGTAAAATTTGAAATCCGTCCGGAAAATACTATTCTCACGCGCATCTATATGATGGAAAGTCTAAATATAGTATGTTTGCGTTGCCTGGTGTTGGTTTGGGTTGGTTTTTCGTTGTTTCGGCGCCGCTCACAGCCTCTTAGCGCTCGTCTGCAGTTAGTGTTCGCTCAAAAGCTGTTTGCTTATAAAATATAAAAACACATGTTTTCTTCAGTGTACACTTGTGGTCCTATGCATATTGCATAGCCGAACGTGCAACTAAAAATTGATATTCTTAGTGGGGGAGGTTTTTCTATATATAAATATAGTGACTTTATCCTGCTGGGTGCATTTGATGGGACATCGTCAACGTGAACACATATTTGAATATTCAACCGTTTCTCCGCCGACTTAATCATTATGTCTTCGCGCAGTGACATCCAGTGCAATAATATCTCCAGTTCTAAAGGGATAAAGAAAAAGTTGCAGAACAAAAAGCAAATACGCAAAATTTTTGAGGTACGTAGATACTTGTTTAACTGGTGATTTTTTAAATAAATGTGCTTATTGTTTATCTTGCAGTTTGAAAATGCAACGTACCCACAAACAAGAAACATTTTGGAACTGGTTAAACGCAATATTTTGATGTGCCACCAAAACAAACTCACAGCAAAGGAGTCGGGCTATAAAATCTCTCAAGAAATCGAAAATCGTTTGCAAGACACACAACGCGCTCCTCTCAGCGATCAGAAGAATCATTCCAATGCCAATTCAAAATTTGAAGCGTTCGAGTGCAGTACCATCACCAAGCAACTACTTAGAAAATCAATTCTAGAGAAGCAGAAGGAAAAATTACTCCGTGACGTACAACATAAAGAAAAATATATAAATTATAAATTGTGGCGACCGTGGTGAATTTGTTTGTTAATGATAAAACGTGGGACCAGCATAAAATTGTGATTGTAAGCTTTAATGTGTAATAAAATTATAAGATTTGCGATAAATATAATTATTTAAATAGGTACATTTCTGTTGTTGTTTTAATTTATATAGGTATATATGTAAATCATTTACCAACTCTATGTCTTTTAACTTTTTAGATCAGTAAACATTTTGTTGTTTTCAAATTGTGAAAATAATGAATGCACGATGCTTTACATACTGAAATAAATTATTTACTTCTTGATTATTAATTATTGTGCCAAAAGTTTAGTTATGTTATAGCATTATATCTTTATAGCAACAGTGGATTTTGGAGATTTAAATATTCAACTAAGTAATTGTTTTTCTTTTTTGTGTAGTGAAACTATTCGTTGCGATTAAAACATGTTTCAGTATAAGATGCCTCACGAACGATGCATGTTGGTAGACGTTCAACCTAGGCAACCAAGTATACTCATGCTCAAGGACTCTCAACTGTGTTTTCTGTTGTGTTTAGGTTAAGCGTTTCTTACTTTTGCCTTCTCGTTGTGTGCTCTCATTGAAATTTGTGATGTTGTTAATGTCTTTTCTTAATCGCACATAAGGACTCTCTGATAATAACAGGTAGACAATGCTGTAGATGAACCAATTTATGAAATTGATAAAACTATAATTTCAATCTTTATGGAAGTGTAGGCGTTTTCTGAGTTATACTGCACTATTTCATGCATGATTTGTATTGTATTGCTAAAACAAAATGAAGGTGCATGATTCCAAATAATATCATTGGTGCTAGTTTTGTTTTAGCACCAAGAATGATCTACAACAGGGAGAAGAGAAGTCCAGCATTAGAATTAGGCTGAATATTAAAATTCAGTCATTTTAGAGTGTGGAATCATATCAGTAGATAGATAGAATCATCTATCAGTAGATTTGTATACAGCTACTTTCTCAGACAGTTGTGTGTTGTAATAAATAAAGAAACCTTCATAACCAGAGGTAAAATATAATTTATTTTACTTTGTAGAATATGTAATCCATAGTAAATATTATATTTATTTAAATTTTATGTGATTGAATTATATAATTGTAAAATATAATGCTGTTTGTTTTAGGGATCTAGTAATAGAAACCCACAAAATTGCTATATTTGTGCATTGCTAAACATAGAGTAACTGTGTTTGCATCAAATTGTAAGTATTGGAATTCTCTATCAGTCTCAATAATAGCTTTTGTCATTTGGTTCTTGCAAAGTAACATAAATAGCGTGATACGGGGAAAATTATACCATAATACAGTTAATATACTATTAGTTTATTTATAATTATTTGAATCGGAACAAAATAAATCCACAATTTAAAAAGTTGTGTGTACCTCACACTCTTCTTATTATTAAATAAATTCTCAGTAAAGGCAAAACATTGCAAAGAAGATTGACTGATAAAGAGGACAAGTGCATATTTCATTATAAGTTGTTATGATTCTGTTTCGTCCTTGATAGAGTTTACTATTCGACTTGATTAAAAAATATATAGACAAAAGTGTGAAGTTTGAAGTAAGTGTGAATTATGCGTTAGCTACCCGATGTATCGAGCAGCGTTATCGGTAGTAGTCAGCGCATTAGCTGCAACCCAAATCACGTTTAACCTTACAATTCGTAAGCGGTTAAACGTACTACAAAACTTCTTAATCTGCAAAAGGAAGTAAATAATTCAGTGTCTCATTTTCAGCTATAGAAGAAACATCTGTCATGAGCAATCTTATGAGGATATGTTTGCGAAGATCATTCTGCACGCAATCTAAAGAGAAAATATTAGAAGGTCTAAAAGTAAAGCAATACTGGTTAGTTCCTAGCACACCAGTACCAAGTAAAATTGACAAAAGTAAACTACCAGCAAGGACTAAAATCGACGCAAATACTATTGCCCTTTTGGAACGTTTAAGTTTAGTGGATTGTGCAAACAAACAAGGTATTGAAACACTTGAAGAAGCAATTGCATTTGCTGATCAAATTCTACAAATCAATACAACCTATATTGAGCCACTTATAACAGTACTGGAGGATAAGTAAGTATAAACCAGTTATAAAGTTATAAACTGTCTAACATTTTCATGCTTTAAGTCCACTTACCTTGAGAGAAGACACAATCACTGCTGGTGGCAATAGGGATAAAATACTTGTCAATGCTGCACTGACTGAAGAGGAATACTTCCTAGCACCACCTGGAAACATTCCACTTGAAGCAAGGGCTGATCCACTCTTTGAAGAGAAATGATTCTAAAAAATGTCCTGAGTTTATGTGAGCAGTATGGATTCCTGTTGAAGAAGCCAACACTTAGTAAACATTATATTGCACCAGCTGGTACTTTACTCTTGGAAAACCTAAAGCATGAGTGGCTACAATCAATGGTCAACTACAAAGATTATTCAATTTATTATTCAAATAACAATTTCACTGACAGTTATGAGTATGTAAAGAGGACAAGTTTAGAGAAATTGCCATTTGGCTTTGCTACAATCAGAGAAGAGGAAAACAACAATGCTATCTTCACACTAGGGGAAACAATAAATGACAAACACCATTTAAACACATGGGTTTTTATTCCACCTACAAATTCAGTGCATGCATTTCATCAGTGGCAAAGACAGAGGAGAATGTGGTGGAGAAAAGTAAGACAGTTGATGTTTTAGCACAATTACTTCATTAAAGTTTGTTAGTTCTCAGCAACGCCTGGCAGATATTTCACAACTGACATAATCATGGAGGAAGGAAGTCAAAAGATTGAAATCTGTGCAAAATATCCTTGGGGTAATGAACTCGTTGAGGTTTTGAGGCTCACAGAAAACCATCCACTTCTTACTTCACAACAACTTCAGGTAAAGACTAAGTTAACCATATGTGCTATTAAACGAGAAAGTCGACGATATTGATTGAATTATATTTTTAGAATCTGCACGAGCGAAAAAAAGTTAGCGCGCTGACACTCAGCAGTGAAATCCACCTGGGCACCATGTACTTGAACACAATTTGCGATGCTTATGAAATTTTGAAACTGCAGGACGGCGAGCGGCATTTATTAAAGTTTCATCGCAAATTAGCACCTTACAAAGTGGGCTTTTCTCTATCGCACCCTCAAAGTACGTTTGAACAAAGCGTTGAGTTTTCCAATGTCAATTAGCAACCTGTCAGACTAATTCCAATTGATTTTATTTCTCCACGTATTGCAGACGGTCAGTTGTATGAGGATTTGAAGGACTTAACAAAATATCTCTGTAAAAAACTGCGTGGCAACAACGTCGTTAGTCTGATGCTGCCCAACTTTGCACGTGCCACGCTTGAGACGCAATTTAAGAATTTCGACCACCTCGGCGTGCCCTACACCATCGTGTTGGGCGAGAATACACTGAAGAATGGTATTCTGTATCTGCGCAGCCGCGATACGACAATTAAGGTAGAACAAACAGAATAATTCAATCTGCCTCGCGCAAACATTGCACAACAAGAGTTGTTTTGATCTTGTTATGATTGGATGCTGTGGAACAACCCTGAGCGTGATTGCATGTTTCAATTTGTTGGTTTTTTCAAACCCGTACAACAATGTTAGTTATTTCGTAAACATGACATTTATCTTTTTATTTATTGTTACAGGAACAAGTTCACGTAACCGAGCTGCCGAACTACATTGGTCTTTTGTTCAGGAATTACTAGTTGATTGTTGGTTAGTTTGTATTGATTTGAAAATATACGCTCATTTGCTCGTAATAATTGATATTTATTCGGAATAATTGTGTTTGCGCGTCAGTGTTGGTTTTTGCGCTGACCCTGAGTTGGACGAACCGTAATTACGTTTGTTTTTTTTTTATCGCCCGCGTTCGATCTGATTGCAATGATGATATCAGCGTGTAGCAACCACCGTGTTGTCTGTACTTTTGCGCTGTCCGTCAAATGCGATGCGCCGCACGAGTCATGCATAAAGTATGCGCCGACAGCGTTTTGCGAACGACGAGTTATTGTTTGTGTGCGCGACTCTGTCGCTTGTTGGCAGCGCGACGCCGGCACCTGTTGTATTCGTAAGTGTAACATGAAATAAGTTTCCACGCGATTCACACACATCATTGCAAATCCTAATCCGCTTCGTTGCGTAGGGCTTTAACAAACCGGTGGAGCCCGCCGTCGGCGAGTTTCCGTTCCAGGCCAGTCTCATGCAACAGCTCTCCGACAAGAGTTACCACAGCTTCTGCGGCGGCAGCCTCATCCATCCGGAGTGGGTACTCACCGCCGCACACTGCATCCAATTGGACGAATCCGTGCCCGCAATGAAACCGTAACGTAAACGCATTATAAGCGCTCGCGTTTGCAACGATTACCTCGTTTCCCGCAGCGCCGAAGTGCATGTCGCATTCGGCAGCATCCTCCGCAGCGCAAAGGGCGCGCAGATCATCCCTGCGAAGTCGCTTACCATTCATCCGAAATACCTCAGCTCCGGCGGACGCAACGACATCGGATTAGTTCAGCTGAGCCGACGCGCGAAATTGAGTAATGTTTTCCGTTTTCGCAATACGCACACTCCGCTTTCATTGTCTGTTCCTTCATAAAGGTAAGCGCGTCAAGCTGGTGCGTCTACACCGGAGCAACAAGGAAGACCTGCTCGGCTCCACCGCCTTCCTGACGGGCTTCGGCATCATTAACGGTAATATTAACGGCTGCCGCAGCCAACAAAGACGAAACGTATTTAAATGCCCGCAGATTTATACCAGGAACCGGAGCGCTTGCGTAAGGCGACGTTGAAAATCGAGAGGAATAACAAGTGCTACAACGATGCCGATTACGCCGACAGGGAATTGTGCGGCGCTTCCAAACTCGCGGATGGGAAAGCTTGCAAAGTAGGTAATCTGCGTCTAATATGTTCGTCGCAAGGAAACAAGTCGCAGCCGCGCGCGCGCGCGCCAACTAATTAATACCCGGCACAATGTCCCCGCTGCACCACCGAAGCGCGCATATTGAAATTCTAACGCGCGCGTGAATCTCAAAGAAACTTAATTCGCAATAAACATAAAGCGCAAAATCTGCGCTGAAATTAAATATTGCACTTGGCCATCGTCCTGTATTTAATTTAGAAGCGGTGTAATTGTCAGAGTTGATATTCGCACCGGTTCCGGATTTTCGGATGTTAAACACGTGTTGCTGTCGTAAAGGCAGCGACATACGAATCGATAGAAAATGGGACAATAAACTCTTATTGCAAAAACGGCGAGATTTTTGTAATAAAAGTGTATCGTTACCAATAAAATATTTATGATGCTAAAATCAGCTATCTTGAGCAAGAGCAGAAAAATAATGATGACATACACGCGTCACATGAAATTTTGCGCGACCGCAGGCGCTACGACAGCAACTTTCGACCTACTTTCCAGCCTGCCACACATGTTCATTATAGTTTTCGATAAAATTAGGATAAGCGCGCCATATCGAAAGCAATAATGTAGGTGGGTAATAAGTGGGTGCATCAAGTGCGGGTGGTTATTTCAATAAATCATCCGAATGTCGTAAAAATTCAGTTCTGTTCGGCGCGCCGGCGGAAATTCCAACGCGCAAATATTCATTTCCGCCTGTTCGGCGTCGTTTGCTTACAACCGCAGAGGCATTTGTTCCCTGCCTGCGCCCAACCGGCTATTAAAAACAATGAAATCCGGCGCGTGTGTTTTAAAGTGTCTCCGCGCGCAGTTAACTCAATTCAAATAGTACCGCGGAACGTTTCGATCCTTATTTAAATTCGACGGCATACAACGCCTCCGGAGGCACGCCGCCCCTTGTTAGAGTCGCAAAGAAAAAGACATTGCGCGCGGTTGAATGCATCGCACTCCTTTGTATACTGCTGTAATTTTGTTGTTGCAGGGCGATAGCGGTGGTCCGCTGACGATAAATCGCAACGGCGCACTGGTGCAAATCGGCGTTACGAGTCGACTCGCGCTTCTTCCGTTCTGCCGCATCGGATTCAATCATTCGGTGTACACCAGAGTCTCGCATTACGTGGCGTGGATATCGCGCGTTACCGGCATAGATTTCAGCAAATACAATGCGAGCAAATAAATACATTTTCCTCTCGAGTCTCGTCCTGAATGCAATAAACCGCTCCTCGCACGATTCCGCGCCAGCGGAAAAATGCACTTTATCCGATTCTCTCTCGCTCCTCAGCTCGTCAAAATCTAAGCGTGTTGGGGAAGAGAAAAACGCTGCCGCGATATGCACGCGGCGCGTGTCTCACGTAGGCGAGAATTCATGAGTGTTCGCGGTGGAAATCCAGGAGACATAAAAATTACATCGAGAATTTCATTCATGAGCAATTTATTCTGTTCCGGGTGCCAGCTCCCCTCGAGGCGTTCGATCGTACGCGCACACATGCGGACGCGTATCTCAATGGGTATCGAGGAGAAGTCGTTTAGGCTGGAGGCGTGCGCGCGCGTCCCGCGGGATTCTAACTAATAACTAACGGGGATAAGACAGAGGTGAGCGTGTTGAGTGCTTCCGTTTCGGCGCGAATAAGCGAGACACTTTCGGCTCGGCGGTGGTCGCCCCATCGCCGGCGCCGAGCCACGACGTTAGTGGGTTTATGACGTTCGACGATGCCTCATTAATATTTCATGATGCGTGAGTGGTTATTATAAGGGAATTTCGCGTGTCTGTCAGGCGGCAGCGGCCGCAGGAAGCGTCTCTTCACGGCCGCAGCCGAAAAATCGAACGTGCAAAATGATCCGAACAAGTTAATGATTTAATTAGCTCTTCGGCGCTGGAGGTAGCGCGACTGTGGCCAAACAACATATTAAGCGGAAGGTGCGGCGCCACCGACACTGTCAGATGCGCGGCGGATGGAAGTTAAAAATGGATTTTGCGCAAATGGAAAAGCGAGAAGTTTTTACCTTTTCCCTTCGGCCATCCTCCAACATTAATAATACGATTATAATATAGATACCGTGATGTAATAAAAAACGATAAGATTTGATTTATAAAAGTCTGCCAGCGAGTGTTCCAAGATTGTCGCGTCGCATTAGTGTCCCCTCGTCTTAACGCCCGCTCGCCGCCGCTCTCGCATTCCACAAGCGTCCACCATCGCCTGCGAGAGCGCATCGAACGTCTACATCGTTCTGGGCGGGAATTTAAAACGTGATAAAGAACGGAATCAACAAACGCGCCTCGACTTCTCGGCGTGCGCACCGCCCGCCTCACCGCCGCCCCCTCGCCACTGCGACGCAATCCCATTGTGTAACCGCCGCTCGGCGCGCAACGGTCTGTCGGGGCGGTCGAACATTGTCTATCCAATTTCCGCTCGAGTATGTTAATTTTTACTCTTGCCACGTTCGAACGTTGAAACACAAAGACAATTTTCGGTCAGAACTCAAATCCCAACAACATTATGCCGACAACAAGTGACGAGGGTTATTGGCTATGCTTTTGCTGCTGCGGTGGCGGCGCGCCCGACGTGGGGGCGGCTCACATCCCGACGAGGCGACCGCGCTCGCCTCGTTCGGCCCGATGTTCATTTTGTGTATGAGCGCTGTTTACGACCGTCCTCCATAAAGGTAGCATGCTAAAAGCAGAAACTAAACGCGAACAGGCAACAATCCGGCGATCGTGCACCGGTGGCGGGCGAGCGCGCCGGGGCCGGCCCGTTTCAGGAAATTAGAACGAGATGCCGTCCCCGATAAGCAAACTCGAACAAATTTATTCGGAATCTTATGGATGATTACACCCCCGCTCGCTTGCATTCGATTGCCACGTGCATCGCGCGCTTGTGGGCGAAAGAGAACGCCGCCACCGCCGCCGCCACCCCCCGACAAAAGTTTATCGCTGGATGTTTCGCAGCGTCGTGGCACTGCAAAGATAAAACACGCCGGAAGAATGCGACGCGGCGAATTGGTAAAAACACATTTATTAAAAACAAGTGACAAGAATGCGTTCTCATTCTCGTTTCATTTTGCGTCGCAATCAATCAATAAGTTAGTGTAAGTCGCGCGCGCCTAGGCGTTCGCACTTCAAAGCGAAAACGGGCGCCTTTCATCGCGCTGTCGGGTGTCGTCCCGCGCGCCGCGTCGTTTGCATCGCGACGACTTTGTGACGAGTCGCGCGCTTAAGCGTTTCGTTTCGGCGAGCGCACAAACGAAATTGAACTTTTCGCACAAAAAAATAAAATTGTATTCGTTCGCGAAAAGAAAGCACCTCGAAAAGTAATGACGAAGGCGACAAGTCGCAGCGACAACTCATTAAAATACACAATGCAATCGCACCGGGAGCACCGCCCGCCACCTTCAGTCAGTGACGACGGCGATGAATTCTGTTTAGACGCACACAATAAATGTATTCGCGGATGAACTGCCTTCGGCGATGAAATAAAGTGAGCGCCATGCAACGCAAACAAACAGAAAATCAAGATTGTGTCGTTGATTTCGCGATCGAATGGATTGAAATCAATGCCAACGCCGGCTCGCAGACGGAACGAATTCGTTTTCGGGCGCGCGTCTCACGTGATTGCGTGCTCCGCTGTGCACGACGGTCGGAGTCATGCGTAAGAAAGTCCGTAATGAACGCCGAGATGCCGGAGACGCCGGGATCTAATTTAATACAATATATCCATTACGGACCATTAGAACTGATGTATGGCGCCAGCCAGCCAGTTCGAGCGCATTGAAACTACAATGTATATCGTGCGGATGACCCTTTTGCGTTAATATATTGCGGATTGCAACTAACTCAGTGTGGCAGTTAAGTAAGCAACATGAACAAGCGGAATGAGCGAGCGGGTTGCGCCGCCAACGCCAAAGCTCCTCTCCGTGGCGGCGGCGGAGAGTGTGACCCGCGCGTTCGCCGGTGTGTGCGCATGTTGGTGTGTGTTCGACTAAGTACAAGATATTGGCGGATCGATAATGCCATTAAAGATGTACGTTTATCCTTTGGGAACATATTCGACCTCGAGGGATTGCGCTTCGACTTCCACTCCGGGTCCGGCCAACATCGCCGCGTGATCCGAGAAATGCAATCTTAATCAGGAACCAATAAATTCAAAGAACACAACGTGTCCGTACGCACGAGGAATAATTGCTTTCGGAAATATTTGCTTCGCTCTGCCGACGTTTTCTTTCTATTTTATTAGCAAACAGCCAAGTATCCCCTTATGAGCGCGCGCGCGCAATGTTTGCTCGGGTAAATTAATTTTCTTGCCGACTTCGGCAAGACGCTCCCGTCGGTCAACGGCTAACGCACATTTTTCCATTTTACAAGCGTTATTTGCTTTTTCTTGCGCGCCCGCAACCTGATACCACCATGGATGAAATTATTTGTTGGGCCGTTGCGAAGGTGCGCAATGAAGCTGTGCCAGGCATGCCGCCACCGCTTTACTGCCGCACGGCAGAATGTTAAGAGGGTCACCAGAGAATACGCCCGTCGCGCTGGAAAATATGAAGGCGAGTGCAAAATCTCGCCGCCAGCTCCAGTGAATTATAGCAACTATTTAAATATAATTTCTGTTTTATGTCAACTAGGAGCAATTACCATAAGCTTGTGTTGTAAAGCAGCTTGCATCACCGTCGGCAAACTTCGCATCGAACAATTTTCAGTGTTATCGTAGTATCTAAAATGGTAGAGTATTACTACAAAATCATAATTAAAAAATTTGATTTAAAAAATTTACTGATTTGCTGATTAAAATACGCGAATGGGAACAGTATGGCGCACTGCGTTTTGTGTCAACTGAAGACAATTACACAAAAGCTGCATTACATCGCACAGCGCTCCACATCTGCGTCGCATCCAACTTGTTTCCAGAAAAATGTAAATGAAAATTATGATCATTAATTCCTATTCGTCATACGTTCCGCATGTGCACTTTTTCTCACTCAATTATGCGCGCTCGCCGGGCTCATAATGCCCCCTCTTAAATTATTCATTTGCGAGCGCGCGAATTATTAAATTCGCTCGCTGGCGCATTACAACATTGTGTTTGTTTCCTTTCAGTACGCGTCGCGAACTCGCAAGAGATTCAACGTTAGTTTATTAGATTATTTAGCCAAACGAAATTAGTGTTTTCATCAGATGCGCCCGCTCGGAAACGAATTCGCATCCGTTCGACCTCGCGTCCGAAACGCGCGAAGAAACGCGCCGCCGCGCCCAACCCCGCTGCTCCGAAAAACAGTTTGAATCGTTTGAATTTTTATGCGCGCACGCCGGAGAGCGAAACGAAATGAAATATGTTGCGGACGCGCGGCGCACATGTTTCGTCAACTATTAATATACCGATAAGAAGCGTCGTGCGGCGCTTCCGCGCTGCGAAAAAATTTCCGCATGTGCTTTTTCACAGACCGCACACGCGCTCCTCGAACAAGACGACGGCGCGCGGAGCAATGCACGCGCGTTGGGCGGCTGGGGCGGCGAATATATGATGAAGGCGAAGAAAAGAATGGCCGGAAAATCCCATCATCCATATACGAATTTTATGTGTTACTAGACGTCATGTAGCGTACATTTTTTCCGCGCTCGTGTTTGCGGCGTTTCCACTTTTTCAACCGCAACACATTGGCCGGCGGGCGGAGGATGTGCGCGCTCGCCGTGCACGAATTCGCGTGCGTTAAAACGCATATCTACATGTAGAGGTTCTAGTTTTTGATGGATTACGCCACGCCGCATCGGAAAGGAGAAACGTTCGCGTCAATAAATTGAAACGTTACCTTTTACGAGATAGTAGATCCTCCTCTTCATCGACTCAGGCCAAATCTCACTTCGTTCCTTGTACAGCAACACGCTCACGTACACCACACCACCACTAGTGTAAAATCTACTGTAACCACATTGTTGTAAATATTACTGTTTTACTAAATGCCTCGATTAAACACCTCTAAAATATGAAAGTACGTACGGTATACCGCAGCCAACAGCACTAGCTTTAATCTAGCATCGAAAACATTAATTCTGCGTTAGATTTGATTAGATTTTCTTTTAACACACACGTTTATAACCGCACGTTGGTTTAAACTGAGTTGGCCACTCCAAGCAGCTGATACCGCCGAGCATGCTCAGTGCAAACTGCGGATTAAATGCGCACTCGACGCAATCCTTGGCAAATCCATCGTTTTCAATTCAATTCCAATTATAAGCTACTTAACATTCATAATTAAATTAAAGGCTTTTACATTACGTTGATGATATTAATTAAAATGAATTCGATGAGCTGAAAATTGAAAAGAGTTAAACTAATAATCTGGAAATCGGAGAATGTTTGTTTACCTCAAATGTAACAACAGAGAAATGTGGTTTTCAATATTGGAAATTGTGAAATATTAGTAAACAATTGTAGCGTGGGTATTAAATTAAATTAGGTATAACCTGATAATCATAAAATTAAATATATTACAACGGATTTTCACAATATTCAATCAAAAAGTTGAAGCAAAATGAAATAAATGTTGTTTAGATGCGGAATATCCGAAATGTAATTCTAAATTCGTACTAAAAACATTTTGAAAACCTAATAATAAATATAAACGAAATTGTAATCATTAAAGTGGACAAACTCGGCGCTCAGCATATCGTACGAGGTTTGCACTGGCGGTGAGATCACAAAGAATCAACTTTTGCTCCAGACTACGCCAATGTGCCGCCGAAATGGCGTATTAAAATGAGTTTAAGGCGTTTTAACGAAAGGAAGAAACACAGGAAGGAAGTAAACACAACGGGCTGGCGTTGACGGCGCGCCACGCAAAACGCAAAGCGACATTTGCGCGACGACGATAATTGCATTCAATTAATATTATTAGAAAACGTCGCAACTTTAACCAACCAACGGCGGCATGATTAAAATTCTATTATTTCGTTTATTAGCGCACGTATTTTGAGCGCCCGCGGGGGTTGCATAAATAATCCCCATAACTCAGCGTTACGCGTTGTGGAAAAGAACGAACGAACGCTGCCGCCGCCACCGCCCACACAGCAACCGCCGTCGACGCGTACACGAAAACTTCATTCTTAAATCTGTGCAATTTGTTTTCCTTCTTCCTGCTTCCTGCCTTCGACGCGGTGGCTACATTAATTTTTATATTAATTTTCGTTGCCTTGATGGAATTAGCGCCTAATTCGAGTCTACGTACAAACATATTGTAGACTTACGCGCCGATGAATATATGAAAGACTTGTGTTGTTGTATTATTGGTGTGTTTAGCTGTTTTTGGAGTAGTTTTTGTTTGGAATGCGAGGTGCACACATTTTGTGCCGAAAAAAGCGCACGTTTTTTCGTTGTTTACACATTTTCCGATAACATATTGGTTGGAGTATAGTGAGAATAGCTGCAAGGGATATACAGGGAAAATAAATACGAAAAAAAATCGCCCGGCAAATAGTCGCCAGAGTGGCTGTCGCTGTGCAACGCAAATAAGTTCGCCATTCCATATGAAAACGTTTGCGGCTACACGAATTGCTGAAACATCGAACGGCATATTGGTCAATCCATTGTGGCTGCACCGTGCACTGCTCCCATCGAACGCGTTTTGTTTCGACAAACTTTGCAAACCGAGAAAAGTTCAATTCATGACCACATTTTAAGGTTTACGCGGCCACATCGACTTGAATTTGCCACAAAAATGAGACACTCGGGTCACACGCGAGACTTTGAGTAGGGCAGCTATTCAATTTGTCATTTAGGGATGTGGCCCGCATGCAATTGTGACATATAAATGTGTTTATAGAATTTGCTCGCAGAAGTCGCGGCGCGGTCATACACTAACACGCGCCCAGCAATAACTGGCAAACCGCCCCATCAATAATTTATTCCCGGTTAATCGATTTTCAAACATGTCAATGGTGCATGCGAACAAAACCGTTTTGTGCCGGCACGGCTCGTGTTTGCGTTCGTACTGCGGTGCGGCGCACTACTATCGATATTTGTGTTCTTTTACAATGCACGAATATTTACATTTCAAATTGTGGATTTTGTGCCGTGGTGGCAGCGGCGGCGTGAGCGCAAAAGGGCGCGCACCGGTCAGCGGCACGCATACATCGGCGCGCCGCGCGAATTTACGATATTACGCGTCGCGCGTGTGTACAAAGAACAACAACAATGTGGAGCAAAAACAAGTAGATTTATCACGACATATTTGTACGTGCCATGTGCTGCGCGCCCCCTCGCGCATCACGCCGGCCGAGCGCATTTGGGAAATTGTGAATTGCAATGTTAATTAATAAACATCGAACTGTTAAAAAACAAAAAGATTGATTGTCCGATTCAGTGCGGGCGCGCGATTCACCGGCGAGAGTGTGCCGCCCGCGGCGCGAGCGCCCGCCGTCCGCTTTGTTTACGCTTTTTTGTCATTATTTACGACGTTCATCATTTTTAACGACACTCGCACGCCCTATTAGTTGCATCGAGAGCGCTCTCGTTCGCGTGATTTAATTAGTTTTCGTTAATATTTGTTAGTGATTATTCGGTATTATGCTTTGGCACGTTCTTTAGGTTGTTTGAATAATTTAACGCGACTGCCGCCGTTGCAGGCCGCATCACAAGCACACTTTTAATTTTGTTTGCACTATTCTTTTCTTAATAATTAATTGTGTTAATGATTAATTAAGAAACGTGATTGTGCAGACGAGTGGCCGCCACGACGTGAGACAACACGAAATATAAGATGCGTCGCGCCGGTTTTTGCTTGCTTGTATCGATCTGGCTTTTAAACTTGCTTCTTTTATTTTTACATTGCAAATTCATAACGCGAAAAATCCTCTCGAACAATAATTAAAAAGCCGCTGCAGGCCGTCAAATGCTCGCAGCAGTGAAGAGAGACTGTTAACTTTGCTAAAACTACGCGTAAAAGCAGCAAGAGTACAATGGGAAAAGCCATTTATTTTAGCGGCGCTTCAGTAGCGAATGTGAGCAATGTTTTGTTTATTTCATTTGCTCCGCGCAACGTTTATTCGCTTGTACGTGAAATGCGTAAAATGCACAAACGACGGACTTAGGCGGCATTCGCCTGTCCGTCATTCGAGAATCCTATTGTGCCAACAGCGCCAGTCGCCCTGCCTAATAAACAACAACGTTTCGCGCGGTGATCAACTTAACTTCGATATTACTACACGAAACGCATTGATAATGAAGTTTCGTCTCTGGGCTTTATTCCAGTGAACGAATTGGGTCTCGGGCGGACGGTTGTTGAGTGCATAATGAAATATCACACGGCGGCGACGTCCAATGAAAATGAAAATTTAATTTTTATTTGCTCTACGACAAGGCGAGAGAGTAAAGCAAAGCTCCACGGCGCCGAAAGAATCAATTAATACCAGAAACAACAGCACATCCCAAGGCAAAAAACAATATCCATTAAATGTATTGTACGACAGGGTACAAGGTGCCAATGAAATTAGGGCACGTTTTAGATGATAATGTTTAGATATTTATGCATGAGAACAGGTAGAGATAACAAATAATTCCGTAGAATCGTGACTGCCGGCTCGTGTGGGAGCTTAATTTATGCACGGTCCTTTCGCTCTCGGGAGAAAATTACCAACATGTGCACTTAGGTCGGAAGTAGCGCGCGGCGCGGACGAGACACGTCGAAAAGTGGAAGCGCCGCCGAAACGACTTGATGGCGAAAAGCTTTATCCGGACGGGTGTACGCTGAGCGCGGATGTGAAACATCGCGACTTACCCAAAACGCAAATGGTTTACACGCAGCGTTACAACGTCGGCGGCGGCGCTGGTGCTGAGTGGCAGGCCGGCGTGTCGAAGCTGGTGGGCTGCACATCTTGGGGGGCCCGCGTGAAGCCCCCGCGTACAATTATCAACTTTGCTCTTCAACTTGCCAAACTTTGCAGTCGTTTCATTATTTAAATTACTGTCGTCGAGCCGGTTGGAATGGCGCGGGTGGCGCGCCGAATTCCAGTACGCCGAAAAAGCGCGCGCGTCTATTTCGCCGGCGACGACACGCACCACCCGGGACTCTCGGGTTCTCGCGACGTGCGCTTATAAAATTTTCTTACGCTGTATTTTTTTCCGGTCTTCCTGGCGGTCACGCCCGGCATCTTGCGCTCAACCAACAACCCACGTCGTTTCTATGCAAGTTGTAATAAAGTAATGAAGGTGGCGTAGTTATTTATTCATCGGTTTATTATTAGATTTGCGAGCGGACCGCAGGGCGTGCGGGGGTTGACGTGTGGCGCAGAAAAAACACGCCGCCGCCCGCGGCGACGTTCTGCGGTGGAAGTTAATCGGTTTGGTGGGACGTCGCGCGAAATTACTTAGGCCGGTAGATTGGTCGAATGGGCGTTGATGCATCGAAATGGGCCGTGTAATGAAATCGACGGAATTGTAGCCGTCGGCGCTAATAACTTATCAACCCCTTTCGGCGAATGCAAAACGTGTTAATGCGATTGGCGCCGTCGTTACAAATGTGATTACAGAGAATAGCACCGGCGCGTCGATCACGCCGGGGCCGTACACTCCGATTGAGACAATTAGGCGACAGAAAAAGCGCCCGTGTGACGAATGTCAAGTTAATAATTACCGTAGCGAATCGAGCGAGTTAAAGCAATCGGACGCATTTGAATAATTAATAGCCATAAGCTTTTTTCGCTCGCTGTGCAAGGCGACAATTGAATACGCCGCCGGAATAAAACCAATTTCTATGTAGGTACGAATAATATTATCCACCATCGATATGTCACTACCTCTGGAGCGCGCAGGCTAAAAATTTAAACTGGCGCATGCGCAGCACGTTAGTCTTGCAGTGTCAACAGGATGCTACGAGTAGCCATTGATCGGCACACACCAAACGTGCGCAACTGCCAAAGAGAAATAAATAATTCAACGACTTACCTCGTTATGAATCAAGTCACTGCTCTTCGCCGAGATGAAAAATGAAAAGGATACGGCGGATGTGGGCAAGATGAAAGCTAAGATGAAATTTACATTGATTTTTATTTTAATTTCATTTTCAATTAATAAAATAAGTCATAAAATTCTTTCATAAATTCGTTTACAATATAGAAGCTATAATCAAAGATTGTTTTACTTAATTTTTATTCCATTTCATTTCATTTAATAATCTGTCTTCAATAGTATTTAATTAAATTTAATTTATATAGTCTTGTAATAGAAGAACGACCAAAACCGTACGTCAACAACATAAATATCAATTTGTCCGTTCATAAACTGTGATGACCTCGCAACTCAACTCATTTATTAATAATATTTATAAAATGAATATGTCTCTTTTTCCCCCTTAGTGTGTTTATCTGTGTGTTTATCCCCTCAAAGAAGAATTGTAGTCACTAAAAAATTTCGTCTAATAAAAAAAAACAGTTCAACTACGATTTTCATTTTTGTTTTGTTTTTCGTTTAAAATTCCCTTACTTCAACATTCATATAGAATAAAAGTTTTATCACAAATAGTTTTTTTTACTTTATTTTTCATAAATATATATATATCATATATGTAATGTAATGTGTGTGTTCGCAATGGATCGCAATACGACGGTCGAGCGTGATCGTGCATTTTTCAATAATCCCCTATCTACTCGGTAATGCATTATCTAGTCAATCATTGTCATAATCAATTATTGCTGCACGACGCGCCGTTCGCGCGCATTTCGAAACTAGCCGTCGTATCCGTTTGCATATGTAATTGATACATTCAACTTAATTGTCTATTATATGTTGTGTTTACGTACATCATTTGCTTTACCACCATTTTTCATTGACCACATATACATAGCCGGCATACGTCTACGGGGCGATCGATGAAGGATCCGCTGCGCGTTCGAAATTGATTGCATTGATTAATATATGCCGGGTCAGTGTGCATGCGCGAATTATTACACATCTAACACACTATATGCTGCAGCTACGTGTATTTTACGCGTGATGCGCTGCTGTTTATGCAATCTTGAACTTCCGCGGCCATGACATTGCTAATTCCGCATAATGCGAGCGCCCGCCGAGCGCGCGAAACAAAGAGCGTTACTCAGCGGGAACTAATTGTAAGTTGAATTGTAAGAAGAATTAATGCATTAAGGGTGCGCTATTCATGAAACACAAAACGATTCATGTTATTCTTAATCTGTCCGCGGCACTTAACAAAAGTCTAGCCTAGGAGTAGCACTCTACGTGATGATGAAGATGTACGAGTACGAATAGTTTTCAGTGAATCGCAAGTGGGGAGAGTAGAAATATGAACAGGAGTCGAAAAACACGATCGCGTGTGAGCAGTGCCGGTTATTAACGTAACCGATGATATCTCGATATATCTAATGAAACTCTTTACTCTAGTTTATCGTTGCATGCGGATCGCCCCGTAGCTCAATGCTTGTTTGCATTTATACAACAAAGAGACATGTGTATTTAGTTTTATACGATTACCTTATTAATATATCCATTTCATGTATCAAAACGAGGCGAACTAAATACGTGAAACGAACGAGACGAATGAAGAGAGAAGAGTTGTCTGATGCAAGGATTAAACGAATAGCTTATTCTTGTATATATATTTTTTTGAAAGATTTTTCAATTTTTTTCCCATTCGAAATTTTCAACGATTTATTATCATCTTTAATTATTCTTAGGTATGTATAGCAACACGTATTTATTAGCAGTCTTATTTCCTATGTACAAATTCGATTACTCCTAGTACTTTTTGTTTACTCGCCGCTTCAGGGGTTGATTTAGTGTCAAATTTTTATGTTGTGATTCCGTTTCGTAATCGTAATTTAGAAGCTATGTAATAGATAGGTACAATATATTTTATCCCGGATCGGTGCACCACATAGGTACTTCATCATTGATTGAACAGATGTTCTGTCATACATTATAACCTAGAGTAATAATGTATCAATCAATCACCTTGCAGTGTATGCACAAGTCGAGGATAAAGTATAGTACTTACTCCATCCGAGCATAATAATTATGCTTATACCGAATAATATACTATTTCTTGATTTCGTGATCGTGTTGCGTAGTGTTGTTGTATTTTTTTGTATAAATATGAATATTATCGAAACGCTTCCATGAAAATGCTCCCGCCGGTGCGCGGTGAGTGAATGAAAGGCTAGGGGGAAACATACACGTACCCATTGGATTGGACTCACAATCCCATCGGAAACATATCGCTACTAGTGCCATGCGCTTCAATCTCTCTTAATCCGCTAATCCATGCCGCACCTTCCCATCCGTCCATCCCGTCCATTCCATAATCAGCAGGATGGACAGGACTGCCCATCTGCTAAAATTCGCAACGCTGTAGACGCCGCGCCATTCACACATCACACACTGTCCTTCTGCATTGCCGTCGCCTCCACCTCCTGGTTAATCGTCGATACGCAAAACCAACAAAACAGCGCTGCAGGTTTTTATTTTTTAGTGTGTGCATTTTTTGGTCGTAATATAACGTAACGTAACGTGAAATGCGTCGAGCTGATGCCGAAATGCGAAATGCAATCGCATTGCGCGTAAACAATTCGCGAATCCGCGTCCGCCGACGCGTCGCCGGGGTAGCAGCAGTAGCAGCAGTAGCAGCGACACCACCAACGGTTTATCTGCAACAAATATTTCAGTTTGTTATTATTATTATTATGTTTATTATGTATAGCAATGATGTTTTGAGCTGTATCATCATTTCACTGCCCAGTGATTCGCAAACATGATTTATGTGCATGTGTTTCGGTCAATGTTAAACAACAGCGCTCGATGGCCGCAGGGGCGGCCCGCGGGGTGTGCGTATGAGATGGGATGGAGGATGGCCGCGTATGTTCATAACAATTATTATTCGGCGGCGTGTGCGCGTCGATGGCCCAGCCGCCTGCGACACCTCGCTTTAGTTACACACTTGCTTTTGTATATTTAACGACTTAACGCGTTGCCGCCACGGCCGCCACCACCGCCGGCGGCGGCGCTCACACCAGCGTTCGCGTGCTTGATGGCCCGACGTGTGCGATGCGCGATGCGTGTCCGTTAGTCATAGCGAATTCGAGTGTGTTTGCGTATTTACATGCCGGATTTGCAAATATATTTGCATCCCCCGACGCGCATATCTACAATGTGTCCCCAGCGCGCACAAATCACCATCAACGTTCATTAAAAGAAAACAGAAAAAAGCAGCGGTGCTTTTTTTGGTGCTTCTTATGATGATCTCGGAATTGCGGGCTTGTTGGCGGATGGCGTGTGAAGAAGAATTCGATCGGAGGCGAAAAACTCGTCGTTACAACGTGCTGGCTTATAATCACTGTTATTCAGCCGGGTGGGTTTTTGTGTCGACACACAAAAGCCCCGTTTCCGCCAGGCCGTCCGCGCGTCGCTGCCGCCCCCGCGCGTAAACCGTTTTGGTTAGATCCTATGCATACATTTAGCGTTCGGCCATCGCATCGCTTCGAGATTTTCACGGCGAGATTGTTCGCTCGCCCGAAGACCCGAGTAATCTAGTTAAAAGGTCCAGATATCAGTCAGGGTCACTTCGCGCCATCTCGATACGCGCTGCTCTTTTGCTCTGCGCGTCGCTTAATTAAGCGCGAAGCTCGCGCGCACGGACACGCGGTATACTCGCTCGTGCGGCCGCCCCCCGCTTTATTATGTAGGTGAAGTCGGTACATGTGTCCCACGTAATACCGCATACGTGTTCCGGTCGTGTTGTTATCTTGTAGCGCAGCGATGGCACATGACGGTTGGGCGCAGATTTATCAGGTGCACGATTGTTACTGATGTGAATTAATCAAAATCAATTCGCGTCAAGACATTTCGCGCGTGGCGCATAATGCGCTCGCTCGACGAGACGCACGCCGGCAGCGTAGATTACAACGCTGATTGGCTTATCCCTAATGCTCCAAACATTATTAAACCGGCACGCGGCGCACAGCGATTGAACCGCGATGAACGTTGGGTTGCATGCGCCAGCCGCCGTTGCACAGATCGTCCTAAAAGCTTTACTTTTTAATTTAGCCAATCCAGTCGACAAATATTGATTCAGCAAGCGCGCGGACGGGCGAAGGAGACAAAGTCGACCGCGTGGTTTATGCCGCGTGGCGGCGCGCGGCCCGGAAAAAAATCGTGGCCGAAAAAAGCACCGAAAGACTTTTCGGCTTAACACGATTCGCCTTGTGATAATAAAAAAATCCTTATACAAATAACGTCTTGAGGAGAAAAAAGGTCCGAGTAAAAACTCCCTAAGAAAACATTACTCCGACCAGCATCCAATTTATATGTATAGCATCGGTACGCCGCGCCGGCATCTACTGATCCGGATAAAATAAATTTTTAACTGTCAATAGTAAAAATGCAACCGAGCGTGGCGTGGCGATCGGTTATATTTTTTTTTTCGAGCGTTGAGCTTCTTGTAACTAAGACCGGAAGGCCGTAAAGCGCAACCCCGTGACGTGCATTCATAAAAATTACATGCGTTAAAAGTTAAGTGACAAATTGTTTCGTATAATTTTATAGTTTGTCTGGTGCGCCCCTTAAAAAGCACGATCGGTAATTTCCAATAAAAAGTAGACGCTCCCCCGGGATGCTGGCGCGCAATCCACATAATAAAAATATTTTTATGTTTGCACGTCAAACTCGAGCGAGCTCGAGCGCCGAACCAGCGTTTACCTTCGTTTCATGATTGAAGAATGAGTTTTTCAGAACAAATTTATATACAAACGGAGTAAAACGTCGTCCCGCCGGAAGCCGCAGTCTTCTTTCAAACTTTCCCGACCAGACAATATATACCAGCCCTCAGAATAGGCATAAGAACCGGCTCTCTGCGGCGCGCCGCTTTAATTGAAATCGAATCGTTCGCAATAAAACCGCGACGTCGCGATCAATTTACGACGCAATTCTATCGAAATTCCGGCGGAAATAAGTCGTAAACTCTTCGTCTATCTTGTATCTCCACAGCGATACAAAATTTTCGCCCCGCCGCGACGCAGGCGAAGGAGAAACGAGCGGAAAGCGAAACTGTGTTGCAGTCTCGCTCCGCGCTCATAAAAAATTATCCATTTGCCCATCATGATAACCGCATAAAATATTTATATCGAGAACACGCGTTTGGTTTATGCCTCACCAAGGAATTCATCATCATCGTGTCGTCGCTGCTGAACTCCGTCTAATATTTGCAGTGTTGTAAAACTAATTACGGAAGATGCGTCACGTAATGCCCGCGGCGTGCGGGGGAAGTTTAAACAAACAATAACAACGCGTCGCGCGCGGCAATATATGCAAATTGATGCAAATGTGAACGATGTGACAATCTTGAAAAGAGCCGAGCGTCAAGAACGCCGCGGATTGTTTACAGCGCGATAGCTAATTAAAACATCTAATTAAACCGGAAGTGCATTTATGCATGCGCATTCGATAAGCATAATTATGTCCCGCTGCTTCGGATAACCGCCGCGTGTTGTCGGCAATTGTAAGCCGCGCGCCGCCGGCGAGCGAGAGGTAAATCAAGCCAATTACCGCCCGCGAATCCAATTCATACGCGCCAATTTCCCGCGCCGAATAAAACTGATTGCCAACATTATTGCAGGTGGATGTAATCCAGTTATAAAAAAAAACTAATTTCAATTCAAAAACTGGGCCACGAAGTAAATTCAATCAAATTCGCACACGACTAAAATGTGATATAATTTTTTCATATCCTGATTAATAATGCAAGACGCCGAAATGAAGAATCAAAAGTCAGTTTGTTGAGTGGCAAGCGCATTTCACGACTAAAAACACTAATTATACTCATACAAACGCGCTGTGTGTATGCGTGCACATGTAGAGACAATAGCGCCGCAGCTCGCCGCCCCCGCTGTAAAGCGAGCGGTGGCGTTCGATAGTATTGGTGCGCGTTTCGCACGGGCCTCCCTGTAATTAGTTAGACGTGTTAATCATGGGGACAATGCGTGTTATAACATGTGCAAATAATTATCGCATTAATTACACGGCCTTTGTAACTTTAATAACTATTTGAGTGTCGCATGAATTTTAGATGTACCGAAAACAAGGGGCCCATGTTTGTCTGATAATGAGTGCTAATTTGAAATTCTAATTTTAACAAAAACATTATCGCCGCGCCGCCGAGATTGTTAATGAAGGTTTGATGCGCTCACGCGGATCGGGGAGTTCGTCCATTGTTGACGATCGCGCCCAGCTTTAATCATCGTCTCGTGTTGTTCGATACAACGCGACACTCGATGGCCACTGAATGCACCCGACACTCTGTAATGTATTCACGAATATTACGCTGAGCGGACCATTTTTAAATCGGGCCGAAATATTCAGATGCGCCGCGCGCTTTTGAAAACAAACAGCCAAATCCATGCCAGTAGGATGCAAGTGGATTTTGAATCAGTCAATCTGTTTCATTGCGCACAAGCCGGACACAAATATTTTCACAATATTTCCAAAAACCTGATGGCGAATCACTACCATTATTTTCAAAGAGTATGGAAAAATAACGACTGATTTTTTTTTTTGGCGTTTGTTCGGTGTGTGCAAGATTTAATAAACATTTATGTTTGAATTTTCGATGCTCGCAAATATTGGAATTTGCCTCAGTTCAAAATAATATTACAGCCGATAAACAAAATTCAATCTGGGGAATTAGCGGGTTTGGCATGGCGCTTGTTTATTCGTTATAATTCGACGCAAATCCAACGAGCGCGCGTGCATAATTATAACTAACGTTTTGCGTAAGATTAATTCACATCGATAGCCGACTTCACGCCTAACCGCGCCACGCACCACCCACGGCTCAATAAAAATCAACAATAGAACGCAGGTTACCGCGACGCATTTTAATACTTTCACCGGGGCGCGGCGCGAGTGCATTCATTAATTAATCATTGCATTTCGATTACGCGCCGCTCGGACGCAGGCAACGTCGAGTTTAATTATTCGTCGATGATGTGAAAATGAGCTTAATTATGATTGAAGTTTGTTTAACATTGTGCGATCGGCCGCTCTGAGTGAAACGTCAACGAGCAGATGATTTGCTAATCATCGGCTCGCCGTAATTAATAATTAACATTTTTGCGCGGCCCGCCGACAGCGCGTCGCGCACGCTTGCAACTTTAATGAGTGCATGTCGCGCCGGCCGCGCGATAATTATTACTGTTCGAGGGAAAGTGTGTCTGTTTGGCAGGTTTTTTCGGCGCGTCAGCGAGCGCAAAATGCGCGTGTGTTTGTTTTGATTTCTTCGGGCGGGGGTGCAACACCCGGACAGGGACAGAGCGACCGTTGTGCGCCGCATGAAAATGGAAGTGGTGAATTATTAATGATTTTTCCGGTTTCAATCAAAGAGAGTGTATTTCGATATCGCTGCGGCGCGCACCGCTGCCGCCGCCGTCGTGCCCGCGCTCGCCCCCGTCGCGTACGTGTCGATGGTAGACGTGGTGAATTTGCATAATAGCGATTGAAACGAAACGCGCACTCACCTAACCCACGAAGGCGGCCGGAAATCGCCACATGAATGTGCAGATGATCACGTGCAGCAGCACGCCGCACGAGTGTATCGATCTCGGTCCCTTTGAGCTCCCTATAACAATAAAGCAAACACATTTGTTACAAGACATCGGGCAAACACATTTATCGCGCTAAATAATACGCGCAATCGTCGCGCGCGCGCGCGCGATCCTCGAAAGGTCGTCGCCGTAAATACGGCACTGTTACTATTACGAGAGTGAAAATCGAAAATTATTTTCCCATGGCATGCACGCCCGCGCCGGGCCTTTGATAAAAACGAACGCTTAACTTGATTTGTCTCTACTCTTCCGAGGTTATTCACTGGGCGAATTCGGAAAGTTTTCAGAAAGTGCACGCATCCAACAAGTTCCTTGCATGTGCGGTGGAATGAAAAACAAATGCGCTTCGGAGTTATCAAAAAATTTCAACCACTTTCGATACATCTGTTTTTAAACCACAGGAATAGAGGGAAAAAAATAGAAATCGTAGAGCATAGGCAAGGCGCGATGTGCGCCCGCCCCACACGCCTGAAGAACTTTCCGAATGAGCCTCGTGCGCGATACACTCGCGGAAAGTTTGTTCTTCAACGTAAATGCTTCCGCTCCGCACGCCCGACACGGCTTTTTGAAGAGTTTCCGATATAACATGCATCGGAAAATATTTTCATATAAAGCTCGGCCGCGCAGAATTTCATATCGCGCTCACATTGCTCGATAGAGGCGACTTTTAAAAAGTTGCTCGTTTTTCGCGTGCACCACCTCCGCTCGTTGTCTATTCATGCGGAGCGCTCGCGTACGGCTCGCCGCCCGTCGAAAAAAATTGGTTCGCCATGCGATGCGGACCCGCGCAGTCGATTACATACATATGTATGCTTCAGCCGCCTCCGATGGAACGGGGAGCCTTTCCGTGATGTGCGATGCAAAAATTTAACGTCACGCCCGCAAAAAAGGCCCAGCAAAGTAAGCCGGCAAAGACCAAAAAGGAATGTTTAAAAACCCTCGCGCAATTTTAATTCCAATTTGTAATTTAGAGTAAAAAAAAACCAGTGCCTACCAACCGCATGATGAAAAACCGAAGCAAAAAAAAAAAGAAACAAACAAAAAATGAATGAAAATTAAAGCATTCGTAACTTGCGACTGCGGAAAAGTTTACGTCCGTAGTTTTTCGAGCGTAAAAGGTAAACTCGGCCCGTGGTCCGCGCGCGTCTGATAGATAAAAACGAACCGCCGGCGGAAAGTTAATGTATATTAATTCGTACGCAGGCAGATGAACACATCAAATGGAATACGAGCGTGTGTGCGGTTAAACGTCGGCGCGTCGCGGGAGTGCCGGCAACCAGACGGAATAAATATACTTAATGAAATTCGACTGCGCTGGAACACGAGCCTTCGTTTGTGCGGTTTTCGCAACTGCTGGCTACCCAGCGGGCATGGGTATGTGTTTGATTTCAATCGTCGATAATGACTAATGAAAAGTCCTAATATGATGTCAAACGCGGAATTGGCAACAATGTTTAATTAGTTGGCAAGGACGGCGGCATGCGTTAATCAGCAATCCAGCAGGCGCGCTGCGTGCTAGTTCTCTGCTCCTTATCGGCCACGCATGGTCGTCAATCGCCAATCAGGCGTTCTATTAAATCGGCGAGTGACTGGATGAGCCAGTTCAATCATGTGTATGAGTATGTTTCGACTCTGTGTGCAATACAAGATATATCTGTGCTACAATCACAGTGAAAATGCTTTGTTTTGCGTAGTGTATTGAACATCAAAGGTGGAAAATTATTGCGTCCGATGTAATTTTGCACACTCAATATTTATGTCCATGTTTTCACGTAGAAATAGCGCTAGAATATTCAATTTAAGTTCAATTAAAGATTGCATGCTTTTTTAAAAAGTCTTGTACTGCGCCTAGCACAGAGACGTAGGAATTGTGCATAATTTCGCGCGCATTCCATCCAAAACGTGCTTAAAATAACCGCCGGGAACAATAAATATTGGTAATATTGTAGCGAATATGTGTGGCGCACGCGTATTTCAATGGGGAAATCAATAACGGCACGTATGAACGAATACGTCTCGAAGAATTGATATATTCGATATGCACGCCGGTTCGATGGACTGCATAATAGAAATACGAGTACGAGAGGAAAATGAAGTGAGCATCGCGCCGGCACGCGAGACGGCAACGCGAAACGTATCTTTAAGCAGGCATCGGTGGCATTATATTACTCTAAGACCGTCCCGCGGAAACAAAAGTGTGGGGAAAAGTGCCGGGAATATTGAATTTCATAGCGACGCGTTTCGCAACGTTTTCGCATTTCGCTGCGCGCTCCTATTTCTTCTCTGCGCGGCGCGCTTAGTTGCGTTTTGGTACCGCGGGATGCCCGATCGAACACCAGCATCGTTGTACGCTCGAGACTCATAACTCGACTGACGATAAATAAATCTTTAAACAAAATTGCGCCATCGGTGCAAACCGGGGAAAAACGCACACACGACTCCAGGGGTATGCTGGTCGAAAACACTGCGCAACAACCGAATCGGTGAAAGCGCAACGTTGTTGTAAAAATCGAACGGACTTAAATTCGCGCACGTTTTACGAGCGCACGACACGGCGCTTTACGCGTTTTCAACTTTATATACTTAATGCAATCACGAAATAATATTTTATGGAATTATGAGTCCGGCGTCACAAATGGGAAAAAAGTGTTGCGACTGCAACGACATGTGCATGTCGGTGGTGGGTTGGTGGGTGGGTGATGGAGGCGGCGAGGAGGAGCGAAACGAAACAGGCCGGCTGGTTGTCCTCGGCGTTGTCCTGGCGTGCCCTGCCGCGGGTCGGCAAACTCGGCGTAATAAATTTTAAATTTGTAACGTGACCCTGTCGCGTCCGGCGAGACGTTCTTTTTTCTCGCCCGCCTCTCCACGGCGCACATATACACATATTTAATATTTATTTCGGTTGTTCATTCTTCCCTCGTTGACGGGCGCGTTCTGGTGCGGAATCGCAGCGTGTGCACACGAGAGCCTTCGTGCTCCTCGCATGCGGACGAAAAGTAGCTTGGAGCGTAAATTTTGATTGTAAAAATCCCGCAACGTAAGCACACCGAGCCCACACACTCTTCATTCTCTACAAATACATACATTGCGACACACAGATACCGCCGAGGGAACGCGTGCTGCCGCCTCCAAACACCAAAACATATCGAACGTATCTCCGCGAAGAATGGCAGCCTGCCGGTCGAAAATATGGGCCGCTCGCAATTTCAATTCCGGCTGGTGGCAGCAACAGGACCGCCACCCGACGGTGGTTAGTGTCATCCAGGGTGGCGAGTCCCTCGGCGGTGTTTTATGGCCGCGCTCGCATTGCCAAACGGGAATATAAAATATATCGATTGAATGCATGGGGGTACATTATTCAGCATTCACTTGATATTAATGATAAGTTATGGGCCGCTTTTTGCCGCCCGTCGGTTTTAACAGGTAGTTCCGCGTCTTCCGCGCCGAGCAACGGCACGCTCGGTGTTTAGGCGCTATTAGAGGCATTCGAAATGTAATTCAGCTTGCGGTCGGACTCGTTCGACTGCTATTGTGAGGCGGGCGAGTAATTCTGCACGGAGTGGCAGCGGGGGCGGCGGTGGAGGCAGAGGCCCTTGGCACAGGTATATCACGTCGGAGTGACCGGTCGCACGCTGGTCTGGTGTGCCAATAATATCGAGCACTCGGTGCGCGCGCTCGCTCCCTCGACGGCGGCGACGTTATCTAAATTTATGAACGCGCCGCTTCTTACGGCAATAATTTCCACGCTCATAATTCGGATAGGCTTTTACTCCTAATCGTATGGAGGCATTAAATTCCAGCGCAAAGTGAATTAAGTCGCCGAGTTATCTAGCTATCTATCGTGGGAAATCCATTTTATTTTCGCCGAGCGTCGGCGGCAGCGCACAATGGGGAGTTGAGAAAATGCGGAAAACGCGCGCGGCGAGCGCTTGTTTTTAAGTCGATACGTCAATCGATAGAATTCGCATTAATTTTGAACGCGGTCGTAAAAGAAAATGATAAATGACAAACCACTCGTTCGCCCCTCGCTAATACACATGTAAATTAAATTTGCCGTTATCTATACAAACAGGTGAGGCCGAAGGCAAACAAACCACCGCCGCGAGGAGAAAGCGCGCACGCAGCAAAAACAAGCGCAGCGCAATGGTATCGTTTTTAATTACGCTGTATTAATATTAAGTCTCATTAAACAGACTCGTGTTTGCTCGTTATTAAAATGCGCGGGCGATTTCAGTTTTCAGCGTCCACTTAGCTGGGGGCAGAGCACGAGGGGCCGGCGGCGAGTTTATAGTGCACTTTGTATCGTCGCTTGTATGTTAATCAGAAACTTGTGTCAACAAAATAACGAAAAACCCACAAACTGTCGTTCCGCGCGGCGCTCGATAGCGGCGCGGAGACGGGGCAGACGAACGCGCGAAGGCGAAGGCAGCGCAAAAAAAAAACTGGCCTGAACTTTACGCCGAGCACTTTGCATAATCGATATTTCTCAATGTAGTCGTTGACTCAATGTAATCGTAGATTAAACTTCAAACAATGTGCTTTATGGCAACTAAAGAGCTTTCATATTTTCCCGACCGCCGACGCTCTATTTTGCATTTACATGTTATCCGCATGTACGATATGACGTACCTGCTGGATTTGTTACAATAATTTCTTATTTCTAGCAATACGCACCGCCCGCGGGGACGTTGTGTGATAATTTTCACACGAGATTTTCATTATCTGATCCCGCCGCGCCAGCTTTTCGCAGTTAAATGTGTCTTTAATTGCGCGACATTTTAAGTCTGAATTACGATTTCATAAATGTTGATTATGCTTTGATAAGAGAGCGTTTTATTTCTGCGCGTCGCCCCGCCGGCCAGCTTTTAAGGCTTTAATTACGCGACGGCAAATACGGAAAAAAGCGAAAACGCGCTCGCAGCACATTCAAGCGCGCGCACTATCTTTTCACATCTGCGCCGCGCTGTTTTGTTAGTGATATCATAATATTTGAATGCTCAAATGAGAAATGTAAAATTGTAAAAATACGTGTCGCACGATAATGTCGGCCAGGAACGCGTCGCAACAGTGCGAAAGAAATATGTGCGAGAAGGACACGACCACGGCGAGTGCAAACACGAATCGAAATTTCACCTTTTCCGCCTTCCCTCCTCCACCGCCACATTTTTTTTTTATTTCCACGACGACGCGGACGCAAGTTAAACGTTCATATCTCGAGGGTGACATTAGGAGGTAAAGATACAAGACCTCGTAGAGTCGTTCGTTTGCAACTTCTTTCTAGATTTCCGGGAGTCCTGGGAGACACTTAGCATCCGCACGGACGCAGTATATTAAACTTCTCGTTTTTTCATGCAAGCGATTTTAATGGGTTATAAACGTGGCTCTTAACATCGCGCGGGTTCTGCGCGAGATAGCAGGAGCGCGGCGATTTTCTAGGTCAGCGCCGTGTACACACGCCGCTTTTTATAATACCGAACACGGGGAGGATATTAAAATGTACGTGCACACGTGCGCGCACAAAGCTGGGACGAGATGCAACTAAAACCGTAATAGTTGCGAGCGTGGCCGAAGCCAGAACGAAATTGTAACCGGCAGCGATGCGGAATTTGCATGAGAACGCGAAAAAGCCACACGTGCATCGGGCGCACGTAGGTATTTATTTGCGTCGGGGAGACAATGGACACTCCTAATCGCTTAAACTCGTTCGAATGTACACAATGCGCACGCTAATTTATGACCGCGCCGACAAAGAAAACGCCGCGATGTTAACCTGCAAAAAGCGGCGAAAACTAATATTAAAGTCGTGGGGCGGCGTGCGCGCCGCCGGCAAAACAAACAAACGACGACGAGCGCCGCGGCAGTTTTCAATTTAATGCCGCTGCCACGGCTCACCTTGAAGTGGTTAGTTCGGATCATAAGTTGTAAAGTTCGCGTGCCCGAAGGCCGTTTGGCACGTAGTTATCCCACTTAATGAACGCAAAATTGTTGTGAATTTTCGCGTTGTTTCGCGCGGCGGCACGCAGCGAAAAGCTCGCGCTCGCATGGCATCCGCGAACTGGCGGACAAACTAAATTGTTTTAAATCGAATAAGTTTTTTTATTTCGTTTTGCGACTTTCAATTAAACGTCGGGGGTCCAAACGGCGAGCGCGCGTTGCTGCTTTTTTCGTTATTTAACTTTTTCGTTTGTATTTATATCAAAATTTAGCAGAGCGGAGAGCGAGCGAACGCGCGCGCCACCGAAATCAGTTTTTCTTTTCGACGAGTTTCGGCTGGTTTTTGTTCAGCAGTGTGCGCGCGCGCGGGCTGAAAAAACACAACACGAAACGAAAAAACGCGCTTCGTTTGTTTTCAACAATCCGTCGGCATCCGCCGTAGTTGCTATTTGATTGTTACGTCGGAGTAGAGAAGAGAAGGCAAAAAAAAGCACGTGCAAAAAGTGTATGTGTGCATGCACCGCATAGAGGGCAAAAGTTTCGATTTCGTTTCATTCCGGCGGTGCGGCGCGCCGAACATGTGTATTTGCCAGAGTGGAGACATTTAAAACGGCACCGAGAGTTGGCAACGGATACAAATTATGTGTTGCAAAGAACTTCCTTGTTGTTCGTGACGGCAGCGAGATGTACCGGAAAAAATAAACTGGAGTAGAGTGGAGTGAAACACAAGTTACGCGGGGCAAAGCAGACGCAAAGCAAAAGTAAAACATACTTAAAGAACTGTTTTTGCGTTCTAGCTACTTCCGCCAAGAACCAAAGCTTCGTATTGATGATTTTTTCCTCGCGGTGCAAAACCGTGAACACCTGTGAGGCAAACCCATTCAAACCGTTGATCTCACCGTGTGAGAGGGTTGAAGTAGTGCCGACAACTCCTGGGTCGATAACCCCCAACGACACAAAATTTAACTTCTCACTTTAAAAATGTGAAGAGTTTCAAATCTAAGAAACCTAGTTCCATGATTCTCATCGTGATTACCTTACAACCCCACCCTCCACTTGCTGCGGCGGTAACGGCGGTATAAAGCCACCGAAGAAATTGTGTAAAACTCGTGCGCGACCTGAATTTGCGGAGGGGAACACAGTTCGCTAATTAAGATTTGATGTATTTCGGGGTTGACCCGCTCTAAGGCACACTAATGCGACCTGACTCCGAACAATTTACTACACACCATGAGTGCCGCGCTGCGGTCGGGCTTCGGCGGCTGGCGCTGCCTCAGCCGCCTCCGCTGCCACCACCGACGCCGCGCCGCCTGACATGCGTTACAATGATATTGTAATTTGGTATACGCGGCGGCGTCTATTCATAAGTGAATCCACAAATTTCGCTCTTCTTAATTTAATAAATGCGAAAGCAAACTGAACTGAAATTTCGCCGCCCAGCCCACCCGCCGCCCCATCAACCACGGCGGGCTAACGAATTGCATTCCGGCGCGTCGTCAAAACACACAGCGTAAACTATTCGTGCGTTAATTGAGGCGGCGGCGTCTGGGGAGCGGCGACGTGCTAGATCGCAAAAAGTTGAAAACGCGTCGTATCCGCAGGGGTCGTAAAGGATCGGTTAGCGCGCGCGCGCGCGGGGCGTAAAATATTATACTACGTGTTCAGCCACGTATGTTTACTTTATAAATCCTTGTTTAAGACGCGAAAATTGCATAAATCCGATACATAAAACCGAGGCGATTACGCCGCGCGAAACGTGGGAGCCGGCTGCTGTACGGCTGTGTCGTTGCGGTGGCGGCGGGAGGGCGGCCGGATCGACCTCAGCGACATCCATACCGCCGCCGCTGAAGATCATAGACATCCTCTTCGTCTTAACGCTGCAAAACTTTTTATATCCGTCACGTACGCTTCATGATGCGTTGAAAATTCCAATATAGTTTTATACATTTCTAAGGGACGATTCCGTGAACATGCTGAGTCGCGCGAAAACCGTCTCCTGGTGCCACGTGTACAGATAAATAGATAATCGATGCGCCATAATAAAATCACAAGCGCCGACGTGTGCGCGCTCCGAATGTGTTTTTTACTAGCGCGCAAATTGCGAACAATTCGCAATGTCGGCGAACGCGCTACATTCTTGCGCGTCATATATAAATGAAAAGATAAACGAAGAAATAAATAAACGGAGGCGGTGTGTGCGGCAGACAGAGGCCGAAGCAGGTGCTGTATACCGTTCCGCCTCTCAACACCCCGCGGAATTTCCAAATTCAATTTCAACTGCATTAGTATACTAATGACCGTCGTTCATTAATGCCGGCGAATAAATTAAAAAGCTAAGCGCTTAATCACTTACCTGAAATAAACAAACAAACGCGCGCGCGTAATTAAAATTTCATCGTTTTTACCGGGTGCGTTTCGGCGATTGCGATTCACTCGCGTCGGTCGAAAAAGACGGCGCCCAGCGATAACGAATTTTTTCACATTACATTTTCCACAGCATTAAATATGTATTTGACCATTAAACGGCTCCCCTTCGGTGGGCGCAAAAAGCGGGGCGTCGGGGCGCGTGCTTTGTGCGTACTCGCGCGCTCGCAAAACGTTGACTTGAATAATACTTTATTCGTCTCTTTTGTCTCTCCGACTGCACGTTTTTCTGTTATTTTCGTTATTATGTCCCTCAAAGCCGTTACGCGTCCCACCGCTGACTTTTTTCCTCGGCGCTCCTCTTTTTTTTCCGCCCTACTCAACGCACCGCCAGTACATCGTCTGTTTATACAATTTACATTTCGCTCCATTTCGTCCTGGTTGGGTTTTTCTTCATATTTGCGTTACTTGTGTCCCTACTTTCATTGTTTGCCGCGCCCGCGCCGAGTATTTTTTCTCGGCGAGCACGTACCGAAATTCGCGTGTTTCCCGAAACCAGCAAAAACGCACGAGCACGAACAGCTGCAACGTCAGGTACTAAAATCAGCAGGTTGTATTATTAAACTATCCTTTGACTTAATCGAGATGGACGATCATTCGAGTATGAATTCCAGCGCTTTCTACCGCACGACAATAACATTTTTCTCGACTACCATCTGCGCGCATGCCGAAAAAGGAAAATAATTTTCTGATAACTCCGAAATTACACTGTGCATTTTTTTCATTGTTTACTTACCGCGCTCATATTGTCAGTGTCGTTTAGAATTGGAATAAAACAAATTTCAGGCATAAATAACCGCATAAATTAAGGAAAACGAATATTTCAAGAAATAAAATTGTCTTCCTTGTCGGTTCGCATGCATGATTGCTTATAAAGACAAAAATAAAATATTTGCAAAAAATACGTCTTGGATGTTTCTTCTTGGAAAAATCGTCTCATTATCCTCGGCGTCCTGCAGTGCCCTCTTCTCGTTTACTTTGCCAATAACCCTCATCGGTTTTAACTTAAGTGGGTCAGTCGGCGTCGGGTTGAGCAAGGCTCATGTTGGATGCTTCAGTTTAATGAAGCAAGAATGCAAGAAAATGTTAGGCGACACTTTCTGAACACAACACCGCAACGACCACAGTGACGATGCGAAAATCGTCCTCAGATATTCATTGTAACTCTTCGGTTAATTACGTCGGTAAGCACGTGCGCGCGAGAAAACGCGTATAAATATGAATCAAAATTTCGTATGCAGCGTGTGTGTGTTACGACGGGCGAAAAAGGTAAAGCGGCTGGATGGAGTGGGACGATTAGAAATTTCGATGATGCGCGCAGATTACGCGCGGAATCTGGGCGCCACCTGCCCGACCGCGGGCCGATAAATAACGTGCCAAAACCGCCCTAAATAATATTCCTCAGACGGCGTATGTTGGAATTAAATGCTCGCGAATACGTAAATTTCGGCTCGGCGCGCTCGGAATACGGTTAAATATGGTCGCGTCGCTGGCTGCTGGCGGCATAAAACAAAATCCATTCTTTCGGTCACCATAAAGATAAGCAGTAATATATTGTAAGAACATTTTATATAAAGTAGCGCGCTGGCTGGCTGCGGGGCCGGCTCGGCGCTTCGAGGTGGTTTTATTTTCATTATCTTTAAAACGCTTCTGCCATGCTTCATCGTCTGTCTGGCGGCGGAGCCAAAATCTTTAGCACGTTCGCGCACCGTTGAACTACATGCGCTGGGGCGGGTGCTGCGAAAGTATCGCGGCAGTAACGCGCGACATAGCTGCCAAGCCGAGCGCGCGAAATGCGCGCGAACTGCATTGACTTTTCGTTTATTAAATTCTAAAATTTTACATCGGCTATCAGTAGCTGCGGCAGGCATGGATGGCGATGCGCGCCCCCGGTAGCGAGGTCTGCATTTTTACAAACTAGACGCAAACTAGACTCTAGACTTTATTTTTCATTAAATTTTACGCGCTCGTAACTAAACGCTGGCGATGCGATCAAGCGACGCGAGAGAAAGTGCGAATCGCGCCCGAATGACGTACGAAGCCCTTCGAATTTGCTCGACTACGTCGTGTGTTGCTTCATCGAATTTCAATAAATGTGCGCTGATAAAACACGAAAAACAAATAATTTTTAATAAGTTCAAACCCAGCGCCCCAAAATTGCGAAGACTCTTCAAAGGAGGATGCCCGTGAGCGGTTTTGGTAATGGCTGTGGTGGCGGCGGCGGCACAAAAACAACTTCGTATATACAATCTACCGTTAATACTCACGTTCGCTTAAAGAACGACAACGCACAAACATATCGAAACACGTAGCGAACGTATTTGGATGGCAAAGTAAAAGAAAAGTTGAGCACGCACGTACGGAACGTATTTAAACTTTTAACGCTCGAACACCCCACCCATCGCAGCTCCCCGCACCCGTCCCTCATTTCGCGCGCGCCGCTGGAAAATTGTCGCTAAAAGGTTTCGACTTTTTCCTCGTTATTTCGCGCGCGTCGCCCAAAAATGTAAATTTTTAAAACTCTTGATACACCCTTGATACGTCGTCGCGGGCTTTTTTGGGGCAGACGCGCAGACTTCCGCCCTAACGATACTCTTTATAAATATGCAATTCGAGATGGGCTTTTATAGTTTATAACCATTGCGGTAGATTACGCTGAGAGCCGTCGAGTGGAGGCGCCGGGCAGCAAGCATCTGGTGTGTGTATAGTTCGGCGAGTCGTTGAGTAGTTATACTTATGTTGCGGAGCGTATCATAACGATAAGTCAAGATTAAGCGCATGAAGTAGTCGCGTTTTGAGTGCATGCTTCGGCGGAAAAAAAAAAGCGAGATGCCAACCGCCCACCCAGTGCAGCACAGCACAGCGCGAAACGGCGTGGAACACAAAAAAAGCAAATAATCGCTAAATGACGTTGGCCGAGGCGCAGTCCGCACGAAAAGAATCATCGACTTTTAAGTCTTCGCCGGCGCGCGTCTTTGTCTTACGTGCGCGCGTCGTAAATACGAAGCGGAGTGGAAAAGTTTGGAAAAGAACTTTGAGTAATGTACTTGTCGTGAACGAAACACCAAGCAATGAGTGTGGAATGAGGCTAAATGAAAGAGAAGCAAGGAAAAAACGCGCCACCAAATTTAGTTATTTGCCCGTTCGGGTGTATTTTTTGCGGCGCGTTGCTGCCACCGCCTTCCGTCCCTTTTCCCGCTTGTGCTGGTATTTTTCTGCGGTCGCCCCCTACGACCGCGCCTCGGCTCGCATTTGTAGTTTGCTTGTTTCGTTGTATTACGTAATGTTTGTTATTTGTAAAGCCGTCACTAAACAGCAATAAGTCTCTTTCGAGTTTGAAAAATAAAACAAAAAACGAGCGGCGTTGGTTCGCGGCTCGTTCATGGAAATTGATATTTGAGTCGACCGCGCCTGAAATAAATTACTGTTTTTTTTTGTTCGGAAGCGCACATTCTTGGCAAATAATTGCGCCCGCCGGCGTGCATTCCACCGCCGCTGACTCGTGCGATCCGATTAAGGAGGTGTCTGACAAACAATGATGCGGCGCCGCGCGAAAATTTTCTTCACACGCGTTTAAGTGGCTGTGGCGTAGGAAGCTTCACGTGTGATTTCGATGCACTTAAGCCCTTCAAAAGCGAAACTTTGCGAAGCGCGGGAAATTGTGCGCGAAAATGCTGGAAAGCGATTTAAGTTTAATGCGACGTGTTCCATTCGGAACGTCTGACTTTCTTCAATTCGGCCGCGTGTACGTGTGCGCGCTCGCGGCGGTAAGTGAATGCTGCGCGTGTGGAGGCGGTCGATGTGTATGTATTTGTGTGCGTGGATGTTGTGTGTGCAAAGGCGCGTGTATGAATGTCGTACAAACGGCCGGGTCTGCTATTCGTTATAACAACAAGAACAAGACGACCATTTGGTAAAGTGCACATTCGCGCGCGCTTTATTGTGTCGAGAACACTGAGCGAAAATTTCGTCAAATTTTCTGCCATATTTACTATATTGTTATAGCAGCAAAGAGTTAAAATTGCCGAAGAAACTACGACGCGCGTTATGTGTGCGCCGGTGCGCAACAGTACATCCCCGAGTAATATGGGCTATTTTCTACTCTCGATTTCAGGCTAATTTCTGACATTACGTTGTTAACCCTGCAACGCTTAACTTTTTTACATCATACTCACAATTATTTACAAGAGACAAGTCTGTATTCATACAACAATAAATGTAAACAAAGAAATTACTGTCGGTAGAGATGCAATTGGAGGATTTTAATGTAAAAGTACCAAAGTTTTAATTATCGCGTGAAGCTGGCCAGAAAAACCAAGAGATAATTGGAAAGATCGGATAAAAACTTGATTTTTTGCAATGTGAGAAATTTCCGCAAAAATTTCTTTTGGCACATTATTTGCTTTTTCACTGGAGAATTAAACGAACGTTTGATTACAAAAGTTAACCATCAAAAGCATTATTGTTATTAGACCAGCCTACATGCTGTAAAACAAAGGTTTTTTTTGTTGGGACAATCTGTAAGAGAAAAAAGAAAACAATCAGCGTGCATGCTGTTAGTCTTCGATATAAACATAGTAGGCTTTGAGGCCAACATTCCACGTTCCGACACAAACTAAACCCATACCCTGATTCGCTCTGATAACTTGTCCGGAACAATGGTTCCGCTTGACAATCCAAAGTCCAGAGCGATAAAGTTTCGCATCTTAAATTTAGAACACAAGGGCCGAGAGTATCACCTCACTTGTGAATACTTGTACTTCCCCAAGCGCTGCCTCCCTCCAGCTGGGCCACGTGCGCTTTAATTAGAATAAAATATGAAACGCCTTCGCCACGTGCATTGTTGTATAATTGAGTTTTCGTCGGGCGCAGTGTGACCAAATGAATTTCGTGTGGCGCTAAAAGGAAAAAATGAAAATCGGCGAAATCTCAGTGCGCCGTAAAACGTCCGCGTCGCGTTTCGCAGCTAAGAGACCACGGCGCGCGAGGTTTTTTTGGCGCTACACATTGCTATAGTTTATTTTTCTATTTTATAGTTTTTCGACAATGCAGCGGACGCCGCGCCGTGCAAGCTTAAACATTTTTCGACGAATTTGTTCTATTTCTTTTTGTATTATCGCCTTTGACATTGCCAGCTTGGGAGCGCTAAGCGTTCTCAGGACGTCGATAAAAACCGGAATAAAACGGTGAGTGAAAGAAGCGAGAGAGCGCACGCCGGCGAAAAAAAAGGAAGAGAATAAATGTTGACGTAGAGAAAACGGACATTTATACTCTCCACTTTAGAATTGAGACGACAAAAAAGAAAGGTCGAATGGAAGCAATCAAGTTCGAAATAATTTACGGATAGAAATGACTTTTCTTATTGCATCAAGACCGCAAAAAGGGAAAAAATACGGCGCGCGCTCTCGACGGGCGCAAAACACGAGGAAAAAGTGTCATTTTTTGCGCCGTCGCGGACATATGTACACGCTGGTGGAGGTGAAGGGTCTGCAGGCTGCCCTTGGAGGCGGTGGGTGCGGTGCGACGCGGCGCGAGACTATTGTGTGCGTATTTTTTTACGAACTAAATTATTTGGCCTGTTTTTCCTTATTTAATTTAATCAACGAGCCCAATTACGTCCAGTCCGCTTGGCCTTTTCGTGAATTCTAATCAAGCAAGGTTATCTCCGACCTAACGGCGCTTCCCGTCCGGTCGACGGCGTCGCCTTTGGTCGCATTTTAATTGCGACTGCCCGGTCGCCCCCCGCGAACGAAACACATTGCTTCTCGGGCAATTTATGCGAGTGAAAAATTATACGCGTATTAAATGTAGGTAATTTGTAATTTCGAGTAATGTGCGCATATGCAGGAAACGCACGCCGGCGGAAAAAAAATGAATAAAATTAAATGTGGAAGTGCACCATTTCCACCACTGCCACCCAACTGACCGACCGCATTATTAACAATTTACACATTATGATGAAGTTTTTACGGCCGCTTCAAAATTGTACCCAAGCGCCAATGTAATTTTGAAATTCCAAGTAGCAATTGTATTTAATAAACAATTACAAATAGTTTTATTAATTCATACGAACGATGCAATAATGGCAAATGAAAATGGCGTGGTGTGTTCACGCGCGGTCATTGCGTCGCCGCCGCCCCCGCGTGTACCCAACCGTTGTTCCGACCCTTGTACTCGGCCGGGAAATTACGTCGCGCCATTCTCGCGCGCGTCATGTGGCGGTTATTGTGGATGCTAGTTTCGCGTTTTATTGTTTTTCACTTTAGCAATTTTCACAAAAATGCATCAGACGAATGGCGCACGAAAACGCCAGCGGTGTGTGTATACGCTCTGCGTGATTGTATGTGTTGTGTGAGCTCGCGGTATCAATTCCTTGCCGCTTCCCCAAGTTCTGCTTCCTGCGCGTATGCAAGCGGCAAAAATGTTTGCAAACAATTCGTTTGTACGCGCCACGCAACATTAAACGGTCGCTTCTCGCCGGCAAACGGCAACCGCATCAAATTTAATTGCAACAAAATGTTTCGAGCAGCAAAAACGCGCGCGCGGCAGACAAACACTTGCCGAGTCAATGGTCAATTTCTCCGCTCGCAATCTCTTTCTATACATCTATCGCACTCGTGCACGACAAGACGCCTGCCGCCATTTCGACATTCGATACGCGCTCAATAAACCATTAGTCGGCGAACACTATGCGCACGCGACACATAAATGAATATTAGAGCGTGAATAACACTCGCATAATTAAGTCGGAATTCACTAATAGTCGCAGGTTAATTAGGCGAATTTTGTGGCAGCGCGCCGAAGGGGATTTAATTACGAGCGAAATACGATTCGCGCTGGCCGCCCGATCGTTAAATTGAAATTGTTGCCGAATCTGTATCAGCGTTTCACAAAGCGCGCCGCTGTCTTGTGTTCGCTGGCTCGCCCGCTCCAACCGCCACCGCTACTGCCGCCCTCGACGCTCGTAGATAAAGCGGGCTGCCCTTGAGGCTTTGCTCTCGGCAAAGTTCCGCCGTTACACGTCGCCTAATTTATTAATAATGCGCTCGCTCGACTGATCTACTCGGTCTGATTTAACGTTATAACCGTAATAATGGGTGCAATAGGTCATAACTTAATTTGACCTTACGATTAATCATTCCGGGGGTGCCGCCGTTGCCGTCGACGACGACCTCTTGTCTCCGCGTCGAGTGTGTGGCGGTGGTACAACGTGTCGGGCGTCTTCAGATAAGCGCCGAGAGACGAAAGGTTGGAACAAGAACGGCCCACAAAACGAAGCCGAAGAAGCGCACGTAATAGCGAAATAGATAAATTAGGCCATATATGAGAGCCTGTTTTTATTAGCTTGCCGATTCCGGCGGCTGACACACAAAAAAAAAACCGTCGAGCAAGGGGGAAACCGCATGAATCATTATGAATCGCGCTGAATAATTTAGCAACAACAAAGTAGCCGGTCGGGTGAGTTGCTCGCTGAGTGGCCGAGACCCGAGCGCTTGAAAAACGGAATTTTTCATAATGGTTACTTGGTTACCTTAAAACGCTTCCGTGGTTATTTTTTTCTCTTTTCACAGCTTGCCTCTGCATGCGGTTACGCGTCGCGGGCGTGCGCTAAATCTATCGTAAACGCGCCGCCGCTTTTCGGCCGGCGGTTATAGCGGAACACGTTTACGAGCTTTTAATTTTTATGTTACAACCGAACCGATATTCTCGCTTCACGCCCTCAGGCGTCTAGTGGCACTTAAAAAATCTTGCGCGGACGCGGCGCTTATGCGCAAGTTATTTCAATTATGAGCTCGTGGCGCAATTTTATTTTATGATGTCACGCTGTCGGTATTCAATGGGATGACACGTGCCGCCACGCATTTTCGCCATTCCTGGGCGCATATTAATTTTTCCCTGCGCGCTAACCGCTAATGCCGACCTCAGCCCTAACCACTTCTGGCGACTCTCGGCGCCTCCACCAATATGTAACGAATTTTAATAACTTTCCAAAAAGGCCATAAAATTTTATACCTCCTTCATTTCAATGCAGCGTTCATTAACCAACGCAAAAGAAAAACACCGCGCACACACACCCACACAAGAGAAACATAATAATTGCGTTGTTTTATTTATTCAGTCAACTTTTTCCACAACAATTTGCGCACGGACGAGAAGAAAAAACGAGGCGAAAAGAATTTACCGCGGCGCAATGTAACTTTATTAAGCGACTTATTGTGTGCGATGTTATTTTTATATTGTATAAGAATGTTTACCCTAGCGCACGCAAAAGTTCAAACAAAAAACCCTAAACATTTGAAACAATCCCTGCTTTTTATGCATCCTTTTACAAACACGTGTACATTTTCCACGGACACGCGCTGAGAACACGAATCTTTTGAAAAAATTCTATATTATTTTAGCTCTAACCTGAAATATATTTTCTTTCATGTCCGGCTGGCAGCAATTATTAATTAAATTTTCGCCCACGCAAACGGCGCACCGGCGCGGAACACGAGAGTCTTCAGTCCAGTTCAGTAGTTATGCGCGGTTTTTTCCCTGAGTTACACAATTGATGATACGTATTCATACAAACCAAATTGTGCGCCGACGTGTATTGAACGCCGCATCGCAACAAATGCGCTCTGTGTGTGCGGGATAAATAATTGTTCGTTGAGGGTGAAGACGAATTTCGCTGCCTGACCGGTGCGTTTCCACAGTCACAGTCAGAGTTTTCTTTGTCAGCTTGCTAAACTCCAGATTGCACGCGTGTATTTTCATTTTTCATACGACGCGCAGATGCGCGCCTGTTCAACCTACATATTCAAACTTTTTGCGTGCGCCAGCCACTCGTACAGCTAGCAAACGCGCGCGCGGCGAAGATAAGAATTGTAGACGTCGGGATAAGAATGGTTGAATTATGAATATTTCATAGAGCACCGGCAGATGTCTGCGATGATTGCGCAAGAAACACGCCGCCGCCGTGTTGCCGCCTCGCGTGTACGCTCGCGTTTACATTTCGCTAACGGAAGATTAACAGACATGTCTGGACGTGGACGTGGTGCTCGGGAAGTGGAAGACGGACGCGGACACACGGATTCGGATGCTACCCAAAAATGTCTAATAAGAGTTGGGCGGCAAGCAGACAGCGAAATAAAGAAGACGTTCTCGCCAGCGGCGGATGTCGAGAGATCCCGAGCAAATAAAATTAAAAAAATAAAACAACACCACCGGGAACAAGCGCGCCAGCCGAGGACAACCAGCCGTCCGAGGAATTAAGATGCTGAATAAGTGAATCCACGCGCGCGCGCATCCAGAATGATGCATCCGATCACGATTTATTTATTTAGATGTTTACGTCATTCTCTCGCCGGAAAGGCACACTCACCTGGGAAGATGACGGTCTCCTGCGTCATGGTGTAGTTCGCGCCGGGAATATTCAGCACGCAGCTGACGTCCGTCGGATGAGGCGGCGTCGGAATAGTGGCAGTGGCGGTGACGTCGTAAAGCAGGCCCTGCTGCTTGATGTCGATCTGCGTGTCGTTGATCTCCCTGAAATCAGCAAATACGTCTCGTTACACACCTCCATACTGCTGGTAGATCAAGTTGTTTGTCTTAAAAATGAACACGAGGGGTGGAAAATTGTCGCCTCGTTCGCAAAGTTTCAGCCGGGGCACACAATGCGACGCATTAAGAGCGAAATACACCGCATCGCAATTGCGCTCCTTTATTATACTTTAATTATGTTACTACGAGTGTTGCCAGTCGGAGGGTGAAATTATTTCCAAATAAACGTGCGCGCTTTGCATACATGAATACCGCGAAACGGGCGTCGTCTTAAACATTAATGTAAACTTTAACGATATAACAAAGTAGACGGGTAGCGGCGTCGTCGGCGTCGTCGTCGTCGTCGTCGTTTAAAACTACATTCAACGACATCATCCGGGTGGATTTAATTAAAATGTATGAATGGGATGCGGCGCCACCCGCTCGCCCGCCCCGAGGTTACGCCGCCGCCCCCGGGGGACGGGGTGGTGAGTAATTAGCCGAATGTATTTTTAATATGTTCGTACTTGGCTTGCGGTTCTCCGAGAATTAACGAGAGCGTATTTATGCGCGAACGCGAATTAGGCGTTTATTTAAAACTTGTCGCGACTAATTAGATTCAAATGCGAAGATGTCGCTGGGGGGCATTCGCAAAATCTCGCCGGCTATAAATATCCGAAAAATAATTAGGCGACTGCGGACGTTCAGGATTTATCGACGATGATAGTCAAATGTTCGCTAATAATTTTTCAAAGCGCTTAGGGTCGATCCGCGTCTATATAGTTGTCTATGGGCTGAGACTCTTTGCGGATAAAGTGCAGCAGAGTGAGTATCATAAACGTCAGGTCGTCGTCTTCGGCTTGATGAAGTATTAGTGGAGAGAAACTTCTTAACTGAAATTAAGTAAGCCCGAAAGTTTTTCCGCGCCAGTCGCGCTCGCTCGCTCGTCTGGCGCGCCACGATCGTAATGATTCTTAAGACAAAGTTTCGGTTGCGATTCCTCATAAAAACGATTATCTGGCCGGACTATTCTGGACAATAGGGGAGTTGAGATATATTAAGTCATTAGGAGCGATTTGGCTTTCCGACCCATCTCGACCCGTCCGTCGGGTGCCGGTTTGCGCTTCCGGCCGGCGGCGCGTTGCGACGTGCTTCAATCGTTAATTGTGATAGATACAGTTTGCCGTCTCAGCTGTACACTTGCGGCGTTAGTTCGCGAAGGGCTTTTTGTTCAGAACGCGCGTGCGGGATTTTTCCGAATCCTCCACATTCATTTCGTGCTAATAAATTCTTGCTAACTGTTCGAAAATAAAGCAAACTTTCCAAAAAATAGAGAAAGGATTGAGACTAAATATATCATAAAATTTATAACGGCGCGTTCATTCCCAAATGGATAACTTCCTTCGCTCCTTGCACGCCTCATATATAACCGAACTATTCCGCTCAGAACCGGATTTCGCCCAACCGACAAAGAAAACGCACAAATTACACGAAAAAGCCGCGCCCTTCTTTCCACGCTCAAAATTAAACATTTGCCAACGCGCTTGTACACGCTGCCATCATGTATATAAAATATATAAAAAGAGTTACTCCGGCTTTTCAACGTAAATTGTTGGAATTTTTTTCTTGGCGACGCTGGAACCTTCAAAGCCTGCAGGACATTCAGCGCGAATTCCAATCCGTTCCATTTTTCTACACCATTCTCCTCGATACAATAAGTCCGCAAATAAAATGTTCGATACTAAATGGATATAGGCGTCCATGCCGAAATTGGAAAAAGTACATAAAACTAGTATTTTAAGAAAGGGACAAGAGAACGAAAAAAAGAGTGCGGAGGCGACGCATCGCAGGAGCGTAACTGAACACGTCGTCGTCGACTTAATTGTCGACAAAGAACGTGCCAAGTGTACATAAAACCATCGGCGACGACTTCAAAGGCCCGGCCGGCCTCTTCCTTTCCGCTCGTTACAACTACATCGGGCGCTATTTGATTAAGCACAAAGTACGGAAAGAATTAAAGTTGAAAAGACAAATAGACCGGCAAATCGATGCCGGCCGCGCGCGCGCGCCTGCTCACGCCCCGCTCGTGGAACGCTTTTTTTTAATTAAATTTGTTTCAATTAATGCAATTTAATTGAGTTAACTAATTGTTCCTCCCAGATCGAAATTCCTAATTTACCAATTGGGCAATCTTTAATTTGTCGCGTAGGCCTGCAATTCCCACGGCGTGGCTTTCGTTCAAGAGGAAAAAAAAAGTTTAACTTCGCAAATTAACGACAAAAACGAAATCGAAGTCAAGCGAACGCCGCCGGAAATATTCAAATGATAGGAATCGCAAAAGAATATTTTGCGACCGAAGCTCGAAGCGGTGTATTAACAATATTTAACTAACGTTCTTCACTAAATATCTCCGCGATATGGTCGAGCGCGGAAATTCCATCTCGGTACCTATCGCGAGAGCGCCGTCGGCAATTCGCTTTATTATACGCAAATGCAACCGAAAACGAACGCGTTATATGTATTCGGTTTTGATGTGCTCCAGCTCTGCGCAAATAAAGTGCTTCCAAGTGCTTCGATTTGTGCGCACAGAGAGAAAACACACAGTCGTCGCGGCGGGTCGCATCGATGCTAAAGTCGATGACGCAATTTCACGTCGGCAAACAAAACGAAAAGAAGCTACCTTAGAAGATGTTATAATATAATATATTTGTACAATACGCTGATATTAAATTGGAAAAAATCGTGAGCACATCGGCGAAACGCTGCATTGATAACAACGGGGTCGTTTTCTGCGCGTCCGACTTTTTGTTTGTTGGCGGGACGCAAACATGCAATTATCGTAACATAAAATTAAATTGCAATTTAAAAATCTCGACTTGCAGGAGTCCGTAAACGCTGCTGCGGGGCGCGACGTGAATTCGATTTGCACAATGCACAAGGACCAGGCGAGGACGTTTGATATGTCAGTTTGGTTTTCAGGTCAATTCCCACAGATAGACATCTCCATGAACACGAGTGCAACGCATAAACCAGTAGGACATGAAGCAGCCAACTTGCATTACCGCAAATTACACCTGCTTGTTTGGAAATCGAAACATTGATCAAGCCGGAGCACGGGCGGTAAAAGAAAGCCGGTTTTGAGTGATGAGCGTATTGATTTTTCATTTGTAACTATCGCACTGCATCAATATTTGAAGCAAAGTGGACGAAGAAGTCTGGCGCGGAGGCAATTTAATCATCGCCCAATATTATTACAGACCGGATGTAATGCGGTTTAATTGATGTGGCCATTTTTATCAGATTGTTTGTAACTCGTGTCAGAAACGCCGGGAAAACAATGAATTGTTAGCAAATCGATACAAGTTTGCGTATAAATTACACTTCGCGGGACTGTGGCTGTAGCACAACTTGGGATTGTTCAAGGTCCTCGGGTTGGAAGTCCCCAATTTGCTGAAAAATTCGCCGCCGCTCGACGCTCAAAGGCGTGATTTATGTCGTGCATGCGAAACGATGTACTTACGAGTGAACCCACCAGATGTTGCAAAACGACCTGCTCGATGAGCGCGTTCGAAAAACCCGAAACGAAATTAGAGCCCGCGGACGGCACAGTCGGTATAAATAGTAGATTCCGGATTTGTCGGAGAGTCTTCCTCGCATGATCCCATATGAATATATCGGCGGCGTATTTGCGGGAAATGTTTATCCCGATATGTACATCCGAAAGTTTCCGTGTATACAGATCCGGGGATGTGGGGCTTTACAATGTCGATTGTATTGTAGCATTGTACCTGAATGCCCCACAATGGTCGCGGCGCGCGCGCCGAGAGGAGTGCGGTCGCTGTGTGCTGTTATCTTTGCACGCACCGTTGGCTCGACTCTTGACCGTCCGAGAGCCGAAAGGGATAAAACAGGGCCCGAGCCCGGCCATCCGTACAAAACCGCCCCACACCGGCCGCCCGAAAGAGCTTTGGCGAATGCGTGCGCCCTCGCTCTGGCGATGCCAAGGGAGAAAAAAACTAATAATATAAAATAGCGCTATAAGTACGAGTGGCTTACTGCGAAACCGCATCATTCCCATCTTAAATTTTTCACTCGTGCTTTCTGCGTAATAGATTTTTTTCGCAATAAAAACTCAATGGAGCTGAACGAGATTTTTCAAAACGATAAAAAGCGCCGCACCGATGGACGGGCGGCTGCGTAATTGCTTCGAATGACGATATTAGTATTTTTACGATGATTCGTATTTTTTGCGCTGGGAGGAAAAAAATTGAGGCGCACGTAAAAAATAAACAAATAAAGCGCGCGCGGCGGTACGGCGCTGAGAAAGAAATGACATCGCGAAATTGGGAAATTGGGGAGAAAGGCACGTCGGCATGGGCCCGCCGCCAGATAAAGAGATGCAAATAATTCTAGAAGGACCGAAACGCGAGACGCACGTCGCCGCGTCGTTTTCTCAATTAACCGTGACTACGTGTCCCCGTTCGCTCGCCCCGCTCGACGCATAAATCTGTCCGCACGATTTACAACCGTCTAAGTGTCTTTAACGTTTTTCTCCGGCAGACAAGCGCAGGTTTTCCCCTTTTTCCATTCCGAGACAGTCAACTCTCCGCCGCAAAAATATCATTTTAGTTGGCTTGTCTAGAGTGTTGCACAATATCATTCCACCAAAGAAAACACCCGCCCCAAACTCAACTATCCAGCAAATGCTTGTTGAAATATTGATCTAATTTCTCAATTTCGCCTATGGTTGATTAACTAATCGCTGCAAAAACTAATAATAGAATTTCAAATCGAATGCATTCGTCCGATCGTTACCGTCCCGCTTTGCGATGAATAATTACATCACTCGGCCGAACATTCGCGTGTAAATTACGGCGAAATTAATTCACAACTCAAACTCAATATATTACACATTGGAATCGGGAAAATTGAACCGCAGATTGCGCCGCACCGCAGTCGAAACCGGCGGCAAAGGATGTGACGCTCGAAAAAGCACAAAACGTCAAACGGTTACGAAATAATAAGCAACCATTAAAGACAAGTTTATGCCGTGAATAATTGATAAGCAAATCAAGGCGAATTTGGGCTTACCGGCAGGAACTATTCACGAGGAAGACGAACGGATAATAACGATTTGTCAAAGCGTTCGTCGTACAACTAGCAAAACAATAATTTATATTTCATCGGAGCAGGCCGTGTAATAATAAACAATTTCGAAGTTTCGCTCGGCAATTGAAAGTTTCAACAATCGGCGTCGAAGAAAGAACGCAGTTGAATGTTTGTATTGTCGTCGGGGAAAATTACACGTTACCTACGCTGTTATGATATCTAATAGCCGTTTTCGGCTTGTTTTGAGAACGTACAATATTACATAACTTTTATTAAACATATGGAGTTGTAATATCAGCATGATGAATCTCAAATATCTCCTAAATGAAAATGTGCTGCACTGGGAGTTGTGCGCCTTACTAAAGTAATATTGCGCTTAATTTCCGTTGAAATTCAAGTTGAACTTCAAGCCATACCTTCTTCGTACTTTGAAAACAGTTACTATAGAAATGGTTTTGTACCAAAAAGAAGGATGATGTAGGTTTATACCCAGAAAGCAAAACTTATTTACAATTCCGTAAAGGTTTAGTGGTAGATGCTCGCGAGAAGAAGCTAAATTTTCGGCAAGTGTAAAATGTTTGCTCTGATTGGGGTGATATTAATAGTGCGATGAAGATATAAGGGTTGAAGAGTTATGTGGTGTTTTGGGGTAAGTTTATGAGTTCCTGCCCTCCGCAGGTTAATATAGTGTAGTGCTGAAATGAAGAATGCGACCCCTGCGTCGGCCGCCGAAACGCCGAAAAAAGCGGCATCGGCGTGTGCGAATGATCTACGAGATCATTTATAAATTTTTATACGCGCGTAAGTGCTTTAATTAAAATGAATTCCTATCAGTATTTTTCCACGCGCGCTCGCACGAGTTGGTGCGCAGCGGGCCAGGTTGGGCCGGAGTTAAATCAGAAGAAAATATGTTCCAACATTGGAATATATAGCGGCATTAGTAACTCGTTGGGATTCACCGAAACTCGTACATTATTTAAAACGTAGGAATACGTGCGCCGCCCTTCCACGGTTCGCCGCCGCGCACGGGCCTTGTATAATATACGCGCGTACGGTTTAAATTCCGGCTGGCGGTGCGACGGTGCGACACGGCCGTCGCCGCCACCGCGGCAGCCGTCGCGGAAAATTTAAATTTATGCATTAATGGGGGGATTATCTCAAAATCACACCCTCCATATTTATGAATATTTTCTCCAATTGGTACTGACAAAAAGCACTGTTTTGCGGTGCATTACTTATGCTCGAGGTATTTATATAAAACGAGTGTAATGAATAGCCACCGGAAAGCGAGGGGAGGCTGGAAGCGCGGATTTGCGTCTTGGCGGCGGTCGTAAAATAAAATCTACGCGACGCGCGCGATAAACTCGCCGTGCCGTCTTTTCGGGCGGAACAAAAACTTGCAATGCAAAATGCGATTTGTATTTTCAGCGGCTGTAACTTAACGGTTGAATTTTGCATGGGCCGGTCTCGGCCGGCGCACAAAGAAAAATGAACTTTGCCGGCGAGCGCAGCACGGCGACACCCGCGGCAGTTAACCGTCGGCAGCGGGTGAGCGCGGGCGCAAGCACCGCGGAAAATTAAAGACGCTCCCGGCCGACGATGGCGGCGGTGCGGCTGCGACACGTTGCGCCGAAGTCACCTTTATTATTAACCGCGGGAAGCGCAAAACTTCCCGAGCATAACCGAATTAAGCATCCGAATGAATGAGAGCGGCGGCGAATTACGCGAGAGGGAAAAAGTTGCGATTGTTGCGCACAAAGGCGCCCGCGGAGGACTTACCCGTATTCGGGGAGGCGCAGCACGAGTTCCGGCCGGGGGAATGCGCCCTCCGCGCGGCACTCGACCTTCGTGAACTCCATGTTCGAGTAGAGCACCTTCAGCGCAAGGTTCTTGCCGGGCACTGCAACAAGAAAACAACACAGGCTTAGTCGTACTTACGCTTAATTAAGAAACATTCATATCGCGCCGCTGCTGTCCCACGACCCGAGTCCGGGGTCAGCAAGAAGCGTCACTCGTAAGACCCAAACACACAAAACCCACGCCGTCGCCGGCAAGACCAACATTTCAATTATTCGCTAATAATTATCAAATTAATTTGAGGACGATGCGGCATTCGGCGCCGATCATTAACTGTTGTGTGTGGCTCATGAACTCTACAACTTAAACGAAACATTGCGAGGCGTCTATAAAGGCGGCGGCGGTGGTGGCCGCGCGCTGTGCCGACGAAGTGTTCGTTTATTCTTTGAAAACTTGCTCGTTTCCTCCATTCGTTCGTTCCTTGTCGGAAGATTAAGGAGGTAAACGAGGCACAAAAACAACCGGATGATGAAATTTGCCGAACCGGAAGAGATAAGTCCGCATCGAAAGCTTCGGATTTCTGCGTCGACCTTCTGGGGCCGCGGCGAGCTTGGCGAATCTTCGAAATTTTCTTTCGTCTTTCCGTTCCTTTATTCTCCAGCGCGTCCTCCTTTATTTATTTAGATATCAGCGGATGTTACGACGACGTTATTACACGCGGAACTAGCGAAACTTTCGCAATAATAATATTAAGTAAATATTTAATAAAAATAAGAAATCCGTGCGCTGTAGGTAATACTTTCACGAGCCAACCAAGCCGCCTCCAACCCTCTCTACCACAAGTAAAGGACAACCTAAGAACATTCCACAATTCTACTTTATTTCTGATTTTATTTCATATTCCATCTGCATTGCGATTTTGTTCAGCAAGCGCGAGCGCATTCACAACTTATAATAATAAATATTTGTGTGTGTGTGTGTGGGTAGAAGAAAAAACAGAGCACAATAAAAAAGGAAATAGAAATTTTTTCCGCCGCTCGGAAACGGCGCGAAAAGTTTCGCGTCGCGCACGTTAGAAAACGATTAAACACCAATACTTCTTACTTAGTTATTATTTCACGCACAGCGAGTGCCGTTTATCGGTCTCCAAATAACTTCATTATTAAGAACACTAAATAATACATCAACTTCTCCGATTGTTTCCGACAGATTCGTTCAAACTATAGCGCCGCTAAGCTAAACACCCTCATAGCTACGTTAAACGCGAGGGCACGACCTTATTAATAGTCACACGGAATCAAATAAACTCAATTATAACATTTTACGAGAATGCATTACAAGTTTATTATTTGTTTGCGTATTAATAGCGCGATAAAAGCAGACAACTTTTAGTTTAGCGGCTTAATTTCCCGACATCGCCATCGTACCATTAGAAACATTCAACCATCGATGATTGCTGAATGAATGTCCCGAACAAATATTTAACAGAGTGATTATTTATTCATGTCTCGCCGCGATTCGTAAAAGTCGCGCATAGTCTGATTGCGGAATTAAATCGAAAGTTAAACAAAATTAAAGAGTGTGCCGGTTGTGATATCGCCCCCTATTGATTTTAGTCATTAAGTCGGATATGCAAAGCGCCGTCTGTTTGCGCGCTTATATACAAAATGCTTATTCAATCGTCTTATTTGACGAGCACTTTGTTTCCGGACGAGAGTTTCAAGCGCGCAAAAACGCCGTCGACGCTACCACTACCAGCGTCGCCGTCGTTGTCGTCGTCGCCGTCGTCGCCGGTTATTAGCGTCGGCGTATGAAGGTAATAAACTTGCACAACGTTAAATATTTGAGTTGAAATCAACTCTTGCCAGCCCCACTGCCTGCGCGCGATATCTAAACAGCGAGCAAATAAATTAGGTGCTCGTCGTTTGTGAGCGCGCGCGGGCGTACGAGATTTAATTGAATTCGCATAAATATTTCACCGCGATGAATTGTTTATGCCACGGCGTCCACCGGAAGAAATCGGATTGAACTTGGGGCTTGTTTTCGTGGCACAACGAAATGCAGCGAGATTCTTCGCAAACACACGACGTCATCTGGTGGAATTTAATGAAGTCCCCCCGCCTTGCCCCTGCCGTAGTAAACTATTAGATTACAGCGCGCTAAATAACCCTTCGATGTTCCCGAGGTTTATCTCAACGTGCGATCCGGCTAAAGGATTAGGACCCCGCGCCGCGTATGTTTGTAGTGGGTGGCTCGCAAAAAGGACAACTTAATGATCCCGTAATACGACGAATGAATGAACGAACGGAACGCGAAACGAAGCAAGGGGAAGACCGGGGGGTGGGCAGACGTTGCTCGGTTCAAACACGTCCGCCGTCCGGCGGCGAGCTCGCCGACGTCACGTGTACGCTACATATTGCAGATAGAAATTACTCCGGCTATCAGTTGGGTGTAACCTTTTGATTAAAATGGGCAAATAGGAAAAATGTGAGCGCATTACAAGCGATATAGGAAACACATTAAACTCCCAGCCCACCCCCGGACCACCCCAACCGCACTCCGTTTACTGTTTCACTTGTATTCATCGCACGCTCCCAATAATAGCGCTTGTTTTGGCAAAATATTGACGCTGAAAAAATGTTTCCTAAAATTCAACGCACAAAGCAAGAGATCATCAAAGATTCGACTTTGCGCACCGGATTACGAGAGCAGAGTTATTTTTAATTTGCCAGCGCGCGCGCACGCAAAATACACACAGTATATACAGGGACTCGAGTCGAGTCCTTGGGGAAGCAATAATAAAACGGCAATTTTATACATAAATAAACACGCCGGCTGGATGGCTGTGAAATTATTTGTTCATAAATATTCATGGGTGGCTTCAATCAGACAGCGATCGCGGCAAATGCGCCGCCACCCGCCGCAACGCATTGTTGTTTCGCGGCGTGTTTTCATTTTTTTCGACTTCCGCACGTTTGCGAATTCTTATCGCGTCTCGCGCGCGCGAACGGCGTAATGGAAAAGAAGCATCGACGGCGGTGGCGGCGACGAATACGACTCGTCGACTTGAGGCAGATGCGTGCGGCGACGGCGCGCGTTCGTGCAGAGGAAGGAAGAAATCTTCCTACCGGAAAATAACTAAAAGTCACACAATCCGCTCGCTGCCTCGTCGCTGTCGGTGCTCGTCTCTCGAGTGAGCATCGATTGATATTATTCGGTCGCCGGCGCTCCGAAAATGTTTACGTATACACGACGTTTATTCAGTGCATGAATACGATTCGTGAATTTATTCCGTCGACATTTTTCAATGTCCACATGCTCGCCTGAATATACTTTTTATGTTGATTTTCGATTTACCCCAACACGCGTAACTTCTTCGCGGCGTTTTCAATCGACGTCGCGAATTTGTGGAAATATTCAATCTGGCGTGGTATGGAATATTTATATTTTGATGCGCGCTTTATTTCGAGCGCAACATACGTCGACGCAACTGTAAGTGCATCTGATAGTGAACCGGCCATGCTGCTAATTGATAAACGACGAGGATATTTTTGGAATATTTTGACACGGTGTAGATTTGCGTTCGAAGCGCTCACAGCAAATAGTCGGGGGCTAGAAACAAATGCGAACAAATGTATTTGCAAGCTTTGCAGCCAATACAAGTGTATTATTTACCGACTAATTGGATGTTATTTGTTATTGTTGTTTTTTCAATATTTTAGTTTGATTTTCCGGCGGTTTTATTTGTTTTATATTTGATTAAAACCACCGCTACTGACGCGTGCAAATGCAACCGAAAATACAGCCGTTATGAATCGAAATACAGTATTGATTTCGCCGCGCCGTGCCTTACACAACTACCGAGGCGAGAATACTTACTGCGAAGAAATGTCACGCTCCCGATGGCGGCACGTTAATATCCAACCTTTTGAGCGGCGAAGAACTCACGAAGCTGTGTGCGTGGGTGGATGTGTTTTTTTTTTAAACACACACTCCACGCGCGCGTATCGGCAACCTAATTCGAAATTTCGACAGTGAACGCCCGGCGGGAAAATAAAGTTGAAATGAAATAAAGAATAAAGTAATAATAGCCCGAGGGGGCGTGCGGCGCGCGGCATTGAGCCTCGGTGAATTTGCACCGATATATCATTTTGCCAGCGCGCACGCGGCGCAGTCTTTTCGTTTCGGGCCTGATAAAAAGCGTCATTGATTAAGATTAATAAGCGTCCGGTTGTGTATGCTCAGTCGTTCGCCGCTCGACGCTGAGCGGCGGGCTTGCGGCGGCAGCGAGGCAGCCCGACCTCTTCACCTCTTCACATCGAGCGAAGGCATTAATTACGTTTCATAAACGTTTCCCCGACACGCCGTTAATCGAAGCGAAATGAGGGTTGCGGGCGAACCTTTTAACGACTCATTTTTCCCGCACCCGCGCACTCTTTCTCCCGCGGCCGTCGCCGCCGAGAGTTTTTCAATAAAATTGCGCGCGCCCGAAAAGCGTATGCGGGCGTGTATTTATTTTGACGCGCCCGGAGATTTTGCCTGATATTAAATTAGACTTCCAATCTCTGCCAAACGGGCGTGCACTTTCGCCGCCACCGCCGGCGCCGCAAGAAGTCACTGGCTGGTAATGGACGGTCAGCTTCAATTAATATTTGACGCTCATACCCTACGCCGTATTACCCTACATGTACTTTATCAACTTTTCTTCTAATAATGGAAATAGGTGGTATTATAACAACTACTTAGCCGCAACTTGTCGTGATGGATTTTCCGCAAATAACATATTTTCGCTCAATTATCATCTAAATATGAATAAACAAATTATGTAATGTAATTCGCTTTGAGCGTAATAATTTTAATTATCTCAATCAACGAGTGAAATGGTCTGTTTTAATCAAAAGCACTAATTGCCAATTTTTGATAATCATGTTGAACATCAAACCGAAAACAAACACAAAGTAAATACGCACGATAATCGCACTAGTTGTATGTCAACAACGCATGCCAGGCATCAACTGAACAACGCATATAAAAAAATAGTGCTCCCGCGCACCTGCAAAAAGGACGCCGCTTAATGATGAATAATGTAATTGAACATAAACT